ATAAGATATATGCGTCAGTTGGGGACAAGGGAGGTTAGGTACATACATAGGAGACAGTAGTACGTTGAACTATCTACGTACATAATAAACTGCAAGGCTCTCATGGCTCTATAATAATAATTTAGCATTAGTCCTGGTTAGAACAATACAATGATATGATCATGCTTAGTTTATATGTAGTCCTCTTATTTAGTTTAGCTAACTAGTTCAAGGGTTAATGATTTTGTATCCTTCGTACCTTTTCTATGGGAATGACATGCCAAAAGATACTTAATTTCAAGATTTGGTGACTTATCGTGGCTGGGGCAAATATCAATCAGGATGTCTAGTGCAAAATATTGGACATTCGTGGGAAACCAGACATACAATGGCCAAAATGACCAACATTATAACCAGAGACAGAGTGTCGTGAGGATAAATGCCTACCAGGCTTGCACTGAATCATCTATTAATTTCTCGCAAGATTGAAATTTGGAAGTACACTATCATCCTCAAAACAAAACACACTTAACTAAGACCGACACGGAGAAAAAGCCAGCCACACTCCGGACTATTCAATGCTAGAATCATTTTAACATCGAAGTTCCAATAAGTTATCTCATCACTTCTCATACTCTCGCATGATCTTTTTCGGTTGTATGTGTCCTCCTCTCACCGGAATCGTTGCCAGCCTCTGTCATCATGAGACGGTTTGGTTTCTTTGACACTGACGTTGCCGAGAAAGGGTTGAGCAAAATTCAATGATTGATGATTCTTTTCTAATTCTCCAAAATATGAGGACCAGGTGCTGTATTTATATCCGTAGGTCGTCGGGTAGTTTGATGCGCACAATAGACGACTGACCAAATCCGGAGGCTGAAACAATGTGATACGCAAGGCAGACAAGGCGTTCGAGAGTTCAGTGCACAATTGAGCTCAAAAATAGATGTACAACTAAGCTTAGCCCTATTCCTGGCGCGTAATTGTGGCAGATGACACACTTAGTGCTGTGATCAACCACTGCTCAGATCAACTGGCTCAGAAAACGTGAGCGCTTATCCGGCGCTGATATAAATGATTGGACAGAGCAAAAAGTTCCCAAGAGCCAGACACCAGTAGAAACATGTCCTTGTGATATTACATAGCTCCTCTGGCTTTGTTGCTAGAGTGGGAAGAAATGGTTGGCTAACATCACCTCTTGGTCTCAGATCGACTTCTCCCGAGTATACTTAGAGGCTGAGCGCACAGGGCGTGCAAGGCAGACAGCAAAGTATTGGTTCTGAGCGAGCAGATAGAAGGGTTTTGTTGGACACCTATGTGTGACGCAATTATGTTAGCGCTTAGCTGTAGGCCGATACAGGGGTGCTCTATATGTAGGCAAGTATGTAGTACGTTGCCAAGGTACAACCTCGGGATGTTCATGGGCTTACTCGGACGCTTTGAGAAGACCGTGTTTGACGCCTTTTGCACGTCAATCGGTGCTAATAATACATCAATTACTACATACCTTCCACAACGTTGGTATGATTGTCCATTTAGAAGAAAGAGTTATTGGCATCTGCTTATGATGACACATTTGTTGAAGGCAAAATCACTACAACATACAGGATCTCTGTGTCCGACGGAAGTCTCGCATTATACATGTTCAGTTCATAAGTGATATTCGAAGTCACCTTTACCATGTGCCATTGAGCATGGTTTAACATGAATCAGGCGTGTATGTAGGTAATCTGTTTCTGCAATCCAACATTGCAGGAAGTAATCAAGCATATTTATAGTAAAGTACAAATAGAAGGAGGAAAAAGAAGGCTTGGAATTACCACGAACTAAAGTTTCCAAAGCCTCCAGTCCCCTTGGCCTTTTTACGAGCGGGCTCAGGCGCAGGCTCATCGTCCAAAACCTCCACAATCTCATCTTCTTCCTGTCCACCCCGGTCTGCCAGTGCTGCCTTCAGATACTTTCCAACACCCGAGGCACTGGCATCATTCGAGTCCGCGTCAGCACCGCGAACTCGCTTCCCGGTCCAAGTGACACTTTCATCATCCACACGGCGAGCAGTCTCATCTTGCTCTTCCGCAGAAGGACCCGTGACACCTGTGGCGCGCGCTTCTTCGGCGCGCTTCTGGGTGAGGAAGTCCTCGAACGGATCAACGAAGACAGTGATTTCCTTGATGCGAATATCGGGTGTAGGACGGTTTGTATTTGCTTCCACCGGGTGGACCTCTAGCTTATTCAAAGTAGTAGATGAAGGAGTTGGGTCGTCGATAAGACGGCCGAAGATGGTGTGCTTGAGATTGAGATGGGGTAGGGCTCGATAAGCGATAAAGCTGAAAGCACATGTTAGCGTTCACTAAATCAGGGCGGTCGCAAGGGGTCACTTACAATTGACTACTATTTGTGTTTTTGCCCTTGTTGGCCATGCTCAGCGTGCCTCGGGAATCGTGCTTCAGAGGCCCGTCGAACTCATCTGCAAAGTATTTGCCCCAAATACTCTCGCCGCCTCGTCCGGTACCAGTTGGGTCACCACCCTGAAGCATGAAGCCCTTGATATTGCGGTGAAATGGTACATCTGTGTAATAACCCTTCTTGGCCAACTGAAGGAAATTCCAGACGGCTTTGGGTGCATGCTCGGGATACAACTCCAGATTAAGATGTCCGGCGGTGGTCACAATGCGCGCGTAAGCCTTGGCCTTCACGCGACCCCGCTTGAGCATGTATTCCTCCTCCGATAATACCGCTAGCTCGGCAGATGTGTGAGGTGTTAGCCCTGTGCTAGTGAACGAGGCAGCTGCCTTGCCCGTAGTAAACCGTGCAGCGTTGTAGGGTGTTGGCTTTCCCAGTTGTCCCTTGGCAGCCACATTCGCAGCTCCGGTCTTCGAAACTGCTTTCGAGCCGGCCGCAGCAGAACTAGCCTGTTGAGCGCGTTCTGACCGTGCCTTTGCAACCGCTTCTTTCGCTTTCAGGATCTTTGCCGCGCTGCCGAGCGCACTGGTGTTGACGCTTCCAGAGGTTTCTTGGCCCTCCACTATTCCCGCCTCTCCCTCCTTGATGTAGTTGAACGAGCTGAGGTTGCGCGACTCAATATTCTGCGGGTCCTGCAAGGTGATAATATCTTTTCGGCTGAATTCCTCATCCGTGACCAAGTCGCGCCACAGTTTTCCCTTGATGTTGAGTCGCTCCACCGTATCCCAAGAAAATACATTTCCTGTATTCCGTAACGCGACGATATGTGTATTATCTGTCAGAATCTTGTAGGTCACCGGGTCGACGTAGTCGCCATCCTCGTTCTTCGCGATGTTCAACTTAATCAAGTCCGAGCTCTTTAACGGGGTCCCGTCGACGGGATTGGTCCCATGCTTCTTGATCCATGGCAAAATATTCGTGAGATCGAAAAGCGTTCCTGTGGGCGTGCAAACCGGGTGTGAAAATGGTTGGAGGGAGAGAGAACAGAAATTGAACGGCAAGCGCTTGAACGCGGCGTGAGGACCACCCTTCTTGGCCTTGGAAACTCCAGCGCCAGCACTGGCCGAGAAAGCATCTTCCGATGCCCACTCAGAGTGTGTGATCTAGAGAAAATACGATTATCAGCGGGGATTCAAGATGCGATAGGAGAGTGGAATGTAGAAAACGAGGGTGTCGCATACGTAAAGCTTATCGGTTCCTATATTCAACGACGTTAGTTTGAATCTGTGTAAGCCAAGAAGGTGCTCAGGCGAAACATACCTTTTCCCATAGTTGAAGATCAAGCTGTTCTAGCAACTTTCGCGCAGCGGAGATCAAATGACGGCACGCTTACCGCTTTGGGATTAGTACCGGACTAATGATATTGCCAAAAGTATATAAAATAGAATCTACAGCATAGTCAAAAGTCTAGATGCTTTGACAATACTTGATTAGAAACATCAGGATTGCAATATAGTAGTAAATATAGGCTGATCTTGACTGGTTTACAACTTTATAATAGAGCAAAAAGACCGACAGAGCTAAATGCAAATGCTGAATCTACTGTCACGGAGTTTATATAGCTCATGGAGACCCGTAGACAAAGACAGGTGTGACTAATCTGCAGCTAGGCCCGTGGATAATAATGGTATCGCATAGTGCTTGGGTAAGAGTAATATGATTTTATATGTCTATAATGAACCTCTATGATACTCCGGTATTTACCCGGCTTCTTAATTGAACCGGGTACATATTACAGAATCTAAAGGTCTTAGCACCCTTGATATGAGTTAAATTAGTAAGCCTAGGTGAGTATAAACGGGGATAGGATACAAGTGAAGATTAGAGAAAAGGCATAATTCAGATTGAGGTGAATTAAGAAGAGAAGAGTGAAGTGAAAGTCAAGGTAAAGTGAGGGTAGATGGTATACTACCTGTTTGTTTGGGGATGCAATCCCATTAACTACGCTCCCTCCTTCCTTTTTCCAGCTGTCGATAATTCCGTACAAGTCTCTATAATTGATGAAATCGAAGCTATTTCCACAGTATACATTCCCATATATGCAAGTGATCAGAAAGAAGATCGAAAATCTGGTCTTTGTAAATGTCAAGATCAATCCGAGGCATTCTAGACATTCAGAGCTATAACGCCTAGGAAGTATATACAAGATTGAAGGATTTTGCATCGAATATGGAGTTTTATGTACATGCTAGTAGGAACGGTTTCAATTTACAGTACAGAAAGTGGTCTAAAAATAGGATTCAGGCGTATGAATTAATCTGAAAGTATATCACCAACTTCTACGAGTGAAACAAGTGAGCTTAAAATTTCATTTTTGTTATCTGACTTCGACATTTTGATTTTTTGGGCCATCTTGTCCAGATCCAAAGATCAGAACAAGGCCAGTGCATAATCATACATGTACAAGTGCTATCCTTCCCGTTGAAAGCCTATGCATCAATAAAACAAACGCCGTGGACGGAGCTACCAGCTCCGTCTGAATCATCACGCAAATTGAAAACGCCTCCGATGACAATGTAGATCGTAGTAATTCATATGATTAGAAAGGGTTGTTGTGTTTAGGAAATCAAGGGTTGGTACTTCAATGGCACAACCCATTTATTCCCAAAATCGATTCCATGGCGACGACGGGTACCGTACTTTCTCCAGACGATCTGAGGGATTCCGATGTCGGCAACTGCCAAATTCCAGGACAGTCTTTCGCCAGACAGAAGAGCATTCAGCACACCAGTCTTGGGCGCTCCGAGGCACACCACAGATGTGGCATTGACGCAAAGCCGGCCACCTTCGACCAGAGTAACTTCGCCTATAAATTTGGTTGTGTTAGTCGAACCAATTCGAAGTGGTTTGCGTAAGTACTTACCAGTAGAAGCATTGAGTCCGGAGGGGACATCTACAGACAACACATCGACGTTGCTGCGGTTCATCCACGAAATCATCTCAAAGGCCACACCTTGATCGTCGGTTCGAAGGTCGTCGAAGGACAGGTGCATGCCAAACAAGGCGTCAATAATCAAGTCAGGGCCCAGGTCCGAGGTGGCCAAACGAGCGGATAGTTCTTCCCATTTAAGCACACGTCCCCCAACCTTGCGGAAGATATCAAGCTGCTTGCGGCAGTTCTCCAGCAATTCAGCTTCGTGTTCGAGCCCAAGCAAACAGACTGTAACCCGGTGACCACGGTTACGCAGATGGCGAGCAGCAGCAATAGCCCTTGCCCCAGTACGATGGTTGCCAGTAAGAATAAGCATAGTGGGTGCAGCAGCATCATTGGACAGAAGAGCCACAGCGGCCTCTGCGATTCCTCGACCTGCATTCTCTGTAATGATCTCATCGGCCAAGCCAAACTCGGCGACTGAGATTTGCTCGATCTCTAGAGTCTGCAAGGGGCTCACCGTGGGACAGCTGCGGTTGGTGGTTGTGAGCCGGAGAGATCCAGCACCAGAAACATTGGGAGCGATCATAGGCGACACTGACGATCGGCTTGGTCGAGGGCTGGTTGTACGAGAAATGTTGACATGAAGCTGACTGCGGCCAAGTGCACTGAGCTGTGGCACCATTGGTGGGGCCTGTATCGCGCTGTCTTTGCGGGGAGGCTGAGCATGCGTAGGCGCTCTTGGCCGCTCGCGTCCGGAGAGAGTCTCGCTGCCCAGTTTGATTTCACTAATTCCTTCAATATCATCCCCGGTGTCGCTGTTCAGTGGGCTATCGAGTACATTCTCCGTCCAGTGTAGGTTCTTTCCGCCGTTGGTGCCCGGCTTGACTTTTCGGTTGAAGCTCACCAGACGCTCCTCGTCTGCGGTAGTGTCGTCGTTTCGAATTTGCTCAAATACAGTTCGCTTATCAAATTTGGACAGGTTGCTTGCAAAGTCGAATTCGCCCAGCTCCTGGATGTCAGTAGCATCTTCAGTTGCCCAGCCACTTGGATCCTCGGCATAACGGCGCGGCTTCCTTTTGCGAAGTTTAGTTCCAGACCGGCTCATAGCTTCAGGTGAATCCTGGAATGCAGGGGCAGCTGGCTCCACAAACGCAGTTTGACGCCATCCTTTGCTCTTTGGGTTGGTGCTTGCTGCGGCGCCGTGTTTAGTGACATATCCCCTCTCTTCCCGTACATTTTCTTGGTTGCCCCGTCGATTTCGCTTTGGTGTCTGCTTTGAAGGTGACAGTTCCTGCGGGCTTTGAAGTAATGTTTTGTGGGATGTCCCTTGGATTCCGATCTTGTCACTATCTGCATTCAACTCCAGGCTGCTGAATGGCTCACTCAAAGAGGCTGAGACTGTTGCAGGGATCTGGTTGGCGGGGACAACTGTCGGAGTATTCTCAACAAACGGTTTAGATATGAGAGGGGCTTTTGAAAAACTCAGAATAGCCGGGTCCGTAAATTGTTGCTGTGTTGGAGTAGATTGAGTAGGAACTGGGGGTAAATTCATTGCTGGATATGTTTGAAGATGGGGGTTAGGCTGATGCTGAGGTAGTTGCTGACGCTGCGGAGGAGCCTGGGTATTGGTTTCAAGAGAGAGGTCGATGATAGCAGAGGCATCAATAGAATATTGAGGCAGTCGTTGGCCGTTCCAGAGAAATGTGACTAGATATCATAAGGTTAATGATTATGACATATATATTGAAATCATTCATAGCTCACCATCCTGGAGCAGCAAGCGCTGCCCAAACACATTGGCGACCTGGCCCACCAGCCTTCCACCCTGTGGCTCCCTCAATGTCACCAGTACATTATAGCCAATAAATTCAGAAGCCATGATGATTGTGAGCTTTCGTAATCCAGCTAAACAACCATCAAGCGTGCAATTGTATTTGCTTGCAAAGCGCGTCAAACTTGAGATGACCCTACGGACTTGGGACGAAAGAGCTGTAAGACATTGGCAGCTAATCGGGCAGATGGCACGTGATGTATATTATCGATAGGAGATAAGAGATAAGAGATAAGCCCGTCCATATGCCTGTCCAGGTGGCCGAGGTAGAGTTCCAACATTAGAAGCTTCAACGGGAGGTGATGAGGTAAATGCAATATAAATCCATAGATGTCCATGTGTAGTTTGAGCAATTTGTGTATTATTGATAATCAAAAATGTATTCTTGATAAGTAATTGGATATCGATCTTATTTCTGACCTGGGAAAAGAGAGGGAAACCTCACAATCTTATATATGGATCAAAAGTCTTCGTCATCAAAGTCATCTGGGTTCAAAGCACTTGACGTCTTGGACTTGTTGACCTCTGTGATTGAGACGAGGTTGGAGTAGAAGTCCACTACTTTCGGATGCACCATCACCTTGCGAGGCTCGAATCGAGTAACCTGTAGTCCCTCCTGTGACACCGCTCGACTCAGTGCAACATAAGCCTGACCCTTTTCGAACACTCGGCCAAGATCAACTTTCACACGTTGAAGAGTCTGGCCCTGGGCCTTGTGAATGGACAGAGCCCATGCCAATATCAACGGAACTTGTTGACGCTGGGCTTGCACTTCTCCGTTGGGAAGCTCAATCTTCCACGTCTCCGGTTGACACAATAAGTGACGTTCTGACCCATCAGGTTGAACGAAAGATACTAGCGGCCATTTCCGAGCCATTGAAGCGGGGCCCTCCTTGAAACCCATAGGCTTGAGCTTTTTCCGAGCTCGATGAGCCCGCTCATCATCACTTGCAGTCGCATCATCGGTAAAATTCTTGTCGTTCTCCTTGTACGAATCAAAGTAATCTTCGCTCATGAAGGCTACTACTTTTCCAATAGAGCCATTGACAAGCGAATCCTCCATATTCTTAATGAGCATCACTTGGGCACCCTTCTTCAACTGAATCATAGGAGGGGCCATGCAGTTTGACAACAGTCTGTCGCGATGCTGCGGGTCCTGTATTGTCCCAGAATCGACTGCGTTGAATCTCATTACCTCGCCAGAGAGTCTCCCCATCCGTGCAGAGTTGGCACCATCCACTTCAGCGCGCGTTGGGAACCTATCAAGAGTCAGCTTTAGCACCATATAATTTTATGATGAGACATACAGTTCCGTTGCGTCAATCTGGTCTTTAACATCAAGGGGCCGAGAGAGCCGTCTGAAAGCCTCAATCGTACTAGGGGTAATTTTCCCCAGTCGCATTTCATTCAGCATATTAGCAAACTCCGGATCTCGTTGACGGAAGATGTTGGTTAAAAGAATGGTATGTTGGATACAGGTTGTCCAGGAAGCAGCTGCAAATGCAAATTTTGCCTCCCGGTTGCTTCCATCTGGAACAGGAGGTAGCTGGAAAAAGTCGCCTGTTACAACAAGCTGGATTCCTCCAAAAGGACGGCCATTGTTGCGAATTCGTCGAGCAATCTCTTCAAGCTTATCAAATAGATCCCCGTCTACCATCGAGACTTCATCAACGACAAGGACCTTGGTACGCAGCCAGCGATTCCGAGCTTTCTGGTTTTTCTTAATCTAGAGGCTGTTAGCATCATCAATTCCTAGGTGAATAGCGAACACCCTACCTTTTTCACTAGTTCGGGCACTGGCTCTTTGCCTAGACCAATCCCAGCAAAACTATGGAGAGTCACACCACCGATGTTGCAGGCTGCAAGACCTGTTGATGCTGTGACTGCAATTCGATCGGGTTCTTTGCGATATTTGTTGCGCAGCTTCGCAATAATTTCCCTCATGAGTACCGATTTTCCCGTTCCTGCAGAGCCAGTGAAGAACATGCTCTTTCCACGCTCGACAACAGCATCGAGGACAGCTTTTTGCTCGTCACTCAGAAAAACAGTGGCAATCTTCGAATCCTGTTGCTTCGGTTTCCCGTCGCTTTTTTGGGTCTTCTTGTATTCTTGTCGCAACTCTTTCTGCTCCGCTTTGATGGTACTCTCAGACTTGTTCCATGGTTCTGCGGGCCTTGAACGTTTAGGCGTCACAAGGCTCTTTTTCTTTTCTTCGCGGGGTTCCTCTTCTTCTTTGGTCCACGGAAGGGTACGAGGTTTCTTCACGGGAGGTTGGAAATGGGCCGGGGGCGATGACGACCACGGTAGCTGCATACTGCTGGGAGGGGCTGCTGCTTCTTGGGGCATGGATGGAAGATCGGGGTAATTGACGTCTGCTAGGTTTTCGTTGTTGTAAACAGACTGGCCGATTCTGGATGAAGTGTCAAGGCTTGGATATGTGACCGTTTTGGGGATAGCGGAGCCAGCCACGCTCGGTGCAATCAATGGTTGTGGCTCATCAAGGTCCAGATCATCATCGAAGTCATTTTCGTCGAAATAAACCGCGCTATGAAGAGACCCCAACGAGGACCCGGTGACCTCGATTTTTCGTTTGACGCCGGATTGTGGTTGTGGTTGTGGCTTTGAGGGGGCCGTTGCATTGACACGCAATAAGTCGGTCTGGTGAAGAGCTTTTGTGCCACTGCCTGGGTGGTCTTGGAGTGCTTTCTTGAACATTTTCTCGGGGGCTGCGGCGGGTCGAGATGAGGATGAATACGCAAACGAACTCGGTAGTCTCTTTGGGCAAGTCAAAGAGAGCGATCGAATTATGTGTATGCCCCGCACCCTAAATCTGGCAACATGCATAAAATCAAATGCAGAATGCAAACCAAGACAATGAGGTCGCGCCAGACAATTCCGATAGGGACGCAGATCGATTTTCATAACGCGTTACAGACGCGATTATCTACACGTGATAGGGCACTGATAAGGATAACAGCTCCACCGAGGTCTAGGTCCAAACACTGAATATGGATTCATCTCATTGGAATTGTAATTTTCGTACATTTTGAAGCAATATGGGATTTTTGTGGGGTTGAATACACTATATAACATGCGAATAGTCAAAAAAATAGGCTTTTGTTGGAAACTACCGGCCATATTATGATGAGTTGGCTGAAATATATAGTTCGGGTGAATGATTCAATGTTCACAACACATTGACCCAAACCAACGCTGAGATACGAGTTACTATTTTTTGCATGCAATTAGACACAAGAGGCTAGATTATAACCATAGTCAATTGCAATTTGCGTACCTACATTCAAGTATAGTCAAGGATATGCGAGGGATCCAATATCACGTGATCATCAATTACCGCAAAACACGCGGGACGAGAATGCGCAATCCAGATATTACCAACCACCAGCCTCGAGAATATCTTGCCAATCACTCAATATTGAAGCAGTTTGCGCTCTGCGACCATGAGGAATGGCAGGGATGGCTGTTTCGAGTACGTGGGACATCCTTTTTTTCGAATTTGAGCTTGACTTGCTAACCACCCATGTTATAGACAAAGACTACCCTCTGACGGGTGTAGTCATTTGCTTTACTAATGTGCAAATTGAGAAGAGAGTATGTGCCAGATAGATATCTAGTGATTTGTGAAGCTCCAAGCACAGGCTAACTTGCGTTCCCATTGCACAGACTCCATTGACTCAAATGGCGGAGCAAATGGGCGCGATGCACAGTATCCACCTTACTTCAGACGTAACCCATTTGCTTGTGGGTGACACGAACAGCGACAAGTACAAATTCGTTGCAAGGGAACGGAATGACGTGGTGGCAATGAAACCGGAATGGATCGAGGCCGTACGACACTCATGGACGCAGGGAGAGGACATAGACATAGAGGCACTTGAGAAACAGTTCAGACTGTCAGCATTGCATGGCCTCAAAATCTGCCTGACTGGGTTCTCGGACCGTGAGTTAGCTGGTTTCCACAATTGAGCATAAAGCAATGCTAACAAATGCGCCGCAGTTCCTTTCCGAGCCTACATGCAGAAGACAACAGAGGAGAACGGGGCCGAATACCGGAAAGACCTGACCAAAACCGTGACACATCTTATTGCGCGCAACTCGGACAGTGCCAAATACAGATTCGCGACAGAATGGAAGATCACTGTCGTTTCGGTACAATGGTTTACGGACAGCATCGAGCGTGGAATGATCCTGGACGAGGCGAAATATAACCCGCTAGTACCACCCGCAGAACAAGGCCTCGGTGCATGGAATCGATCCTCGCCAACAGAGAGGGGGCTCCGTCGAACGGACAGCACTACCAAAGAGAACTCTTTGAATCCAAGACCTCGAAAATTACGCAGGATTGCAAGTACCAAGCTGGTAGATCAAAACGAAAGCATCTGGGGGGATATCGTCGGAACAGGATTCGAAAATAACGAGACGACTGGACCCCAAAAGAACCCACAAGGACAAGGACCACCTGAAGCCTCGAAGCCTGTCATACAGGCATATCAGTCATTCGCCAGCGAAAGTACATTTTCGGAAAGCATCCAGTCTCGTCTTCCGCTACCAATTGCTCCACCAAAAGACAATGGATTTCTACATGCGACTTATTTCTTCATCAATGGATTTTCTCCCAAGCAGGTTTGTGTTCATGCTCTTGCCTGAATTTACTTGAGACTAACGCATATTCTAGACAAAAGTTCTGCGTGAACATCTCACTTATAACGGAGCTCAGTTGGTGGATTCACTGAATGAGTTCTCCAGCCCTACTATCCCCAAAACAGGACACGGGCTGTTTATCATAGTGCCGTATCAGACTCCCAGACCAGAAGTTCCGTCAACGGATGAAATGGCCTTTGAATGCGAGGTTGTGACAGAGATGTGGCTGGAAAGGTGCATTGATGCTCGAGCTTTTGTTCCACCCGAGTCTCATGTGGCGAGCACTCCGTTTCCCAAGTTCCCTATACCAGGTAAGATCCCATCAAATGTAAGATTCAAACTTGCTCTAATTATATTAGGATTTCCGGACTTGCGGATTTGTTCCACTGGCTTTGGGCGTATCGATCTTTTACACCTACGCAAACTGGTAGAGTTGATGGGCGCCACTTATGGAGATTTCCTGACGCAGAAAGCATCCGTTCTGATTTGCAATGACCCCAAAACAGCCAGCGTCGACAAACTGCGGCATACTGCCGAGTGGGGGTTCCAGCTGTGTCTGCTGACTGGCTCTGGATATCTATTCAAACTGGCCAAAAAAAGTCATTTGAGCCATACATTGTCCGACGACAATTGCCCCAAAATGCTAGCAGCACAGAGAAACTCGGATCTTTGTCTGCTAAGCGAAAGCAGCCCGAGAGAAACCTTGATGAACGGCGAGCGGATTCACCGTACAATATCTCTACCGAGTCCACGAATGGTAGTAGGACCGAGAAGCGAAATTCAGGGAAGAGCGCTGTAACTCGAACAATCCCCATCGTTGGTGACGGCTTTGAGGCCGATGCACCGAAACCCTCCGTTCCAGAGTCACGATCTCCAACCCCGGCCAGGATACCAGACGAACAAACCCCAGAGGAACCGAATGACAAACAGATCACGCCAAGTACCGACTCTGTACCACCGACTGGCCCATCTGCACTAGATACCGCTCTGAGCGGGCTCTTACAGCAAGCCCGGGCTGCCAAGTCACGACAGCAGTCCGAGAACACTACGACTTATGATGACGGAAATCCACCCCGACGAAAGCGCAGGCCCCTCCTCGGCCGCGCCCCATCCCACTCTTCAGCCCGAATACTAGAAGGCCCGCGTCCCGTTTCACGCGCTAGCTCGATCGACACACTCAACGACGACGGCCTCGGCAGCGCCTTGGAAAGTGCCCACCCGACTAGAGACAACTCCATATCCCGCAGTAACAGCCGTGTCGAACAGAGTCTGTCATCCATGCTCAGCGGCGGGAAATTTGATTTCCTGAATGATAAACTCCCAGCCCATAATGAGGACGAAGATGAGGAAAACCAGGCACCGCAGATGACGCAGCTGGATTATGAAGATTCCGATGCGGCTGCCATGAGGGCTGAGTTCCTGAGGGATGCTGGGAAGTTGTCTGGAAAGACAATGAAGCCCGATACCTCGGGCTTGCTTGTTGGTGAAGTCCGGGAGTTGGAGGATATTGGGTGGGGGTCTGGGCGGAGGACGAGGAAACAGCCTGTTAAACTAAATGATGAATGATTATTGTTGCACATGGGATAAACGTCTTGGTTTTTGGTTTTTCCTTCATCGGCGAAGGCATGGCATTGCATTGCGAATGGCGCTCTCTTTTGTCTATCTATTGTTTTGAAAGAGTGATATCTAAATGTTGTCAATGATAATCTCAGGTTATACATGGAAAAGTCGCTTTCACAAAGCCTCTTAACGCTTTCTGCTGCCCACCTATAAAACTGACAAGGGAGAAAGACATTCGCATATCTGAGACGACTAGAAAGACCACTAAGAAGACATCACAAGGTCGCATACGCGGCCGTCTACTTTGGTCCAATTTAGTTCAATACCAAGCAAGCTAGATGGCCTCAGATCTACGACCAGAGTGAAAGTGACGAGTTTGTCTTGAAAAGCCGAGTTCGAGCTGCATTCTGATACTAGACATTTAAGGGACGAAAAGAAAGATGAAGGGAAACCCCTCGATCTTGAGGCCACTAGCAAGAGAAATTTTGAAGAAATAGATGCAATCTTAATTCAAGGGGAATCTTGGGTAAGAATTAGACTCCCTCTGGTGCACATCATCACGCCATGGAATACAGAAGCCAGCGGGGCAAGAGAGCCCGGGGCAGAATGATCGTAAAGTTGACGTGGAGGAACATCATAGGAAGAGTTAAGTAGAATATGGAGAATGAGCAAGAGAAAGATGTAAACTGTACAAGTTTGGAGGTAAACGAAAAGGAGTGAAAAAGAAATATCGTAGAAATCATGAGTGGTTGTACAAAGGTGGACCTAGGATTATGTTTGCATTGCCGCAGCCATTCCGCCAGGCAAAGGAGCATCAAGATCCAGATTTTCGATAGAACGGCGGTTCTCGCTGCTGTCACGGAACAGGTTAGAGAAATACTTGGTGGCGACATCGCTCTCCTGCTTGATTTTGGTAACCTCTTGCTTGCGTCTGCCGAGATCCTCAATATCCTGAGATAGACAGGTTTGGAGATTTCCGGCAGGCATGCGCAGCATGCGGCGAACCTCAGTCGAGATTCGATTGGCATTTGAGTGGACATAGTCCATCTCAGCAAGGGTGGCGGCGATCTTCCGCGACAGGCGTGGGGGAAGGGTGCTCGGGATGGAGCTGAGCACATAGGCTGTGGTCAGAACAGCTTGTATGAAGTTAGTATATCGTTATTCTTTGTGAGAACGAACGGGAAAACTCACCAGCAGCCAGGATACTAGGCAAGAACAGCCGGCGCATGTTGTTCGGGCCAATGACCTTGACAGCACTCAATGCACTATCCACCCAACTAAATCCGCCCAGTGCCCTACCACCAAGTACAGTAACCGCAGTCATTGCAACGCCTGTTCCTGCCAACTTCTCTTGGCGCTCCCAGAGACCAGCAACATCGAAGAAATCCCACAGCTCTACCTCAGTGTCGACTTGTCGGGCAAATGTGTGGCGACGGCCACGGCGGAACATTGCATCTGCGCGGAAGCTGAGAGGGGTAAATTTGTCGTCACCAATGTGCAGAAGACCGATATTTTGGATGAAACCGACTCCTTGAACTGTCTTTTCCCGGGCGTAGTCCTCACAGTCGTTGACAGATGAAGCAATCTGATCCAGCATGGCCAGTTTCAGTTCCTCGGCGTACTGGAACGCCGAAAAGAGACCGTGGTATTCAACACCGAGATCTGCATCAGAAACACGCGTGATTGTGTTATTCAATGTCGAGCGAGTGTGGTTGTAGACGTCATCGCATGAGTCGTCGATAGCCTTGTTGACGCCCTCTGCAACCTCTCCCTTCTTTTTCTTGCCGTTCTCAAATGCCGGTACAAGCTCTGCCAATTCATCGGTCACTCGCTTGAGCTCCGATTGTGCAACATCACGATTGACTGTGGCAAGGGAGCTAAGGTCAGCCAAGAGATTGAGAAGATAAGTTCTGGCAGGCGCAAGCTTGGACCGGGAGCGCTTTTCAAGGACGAAACGTCGCAAGGCTCCTTCAAGGTTCTCGAAGTCTTGGAGTTTCTCCCGTTCTTTGCCCTTGCCCTTATCCTTGGAGTCCTTATCATCGTCGTCATCATGAGGATCAGAGCCACCGCCATCACCACCACCAGAGCCAGACTGCGAGATAGCAGGTGCAACTGGTATAGCATTGCTTGAAACGAAATGAACCAGTTCAGAAGCCTCCTTGTATGTGCGAGGGCTGAGTTTGCCGATCTGATCCAAGATCATGCGTTCGCAGCGCTGCTTGTCGCGAATTTGATCAAATCCGTTGACTACCATGAAGATATATGCCTTCTCATGAGCAGCATTCAAGATGAACTCTTTTGCAGACAATGTGAAGTGATTTGCGGCGGAAACCACAAACACAACGACGTCGATCTCCTCCTGCCGAGCAAAGACGGCCGTGGTTTTCAACGAATCCGAGTTCAAGCCAGGTGCATCAATCAAAGCGATGTCAACCACGCCGTTATTGAGCAGTGATTCGTCAATAGACCGTACATCCTTCACGTAGACCTTGCACTGCATGTACTTCGTGTTGTCGATGACGATGTTTTCGAGTTCCGTGAGAGGATAGACATCAAAGGTGCTCTCGTCGTTGCGGTTGTATGGCGTATCTTTGTGAACAGCGTGGACTTCTTCAATGCTGCCGTTTTCACGCGCATCGAGAACCTCACAGAAGATGCCGGTGCAAGGCTGCTGGTCCTCTGGCAACACCTTTCGGCGCAGGAGAGCATTGCAGAATGTCGATTTGCCTGCGTTCAAGTCTCCTGTAATCAGGACCTTACTTGAGGTATCCTCAATTCTGTCTCGCAGAGAGAGGAGATGCTTCATGCTTTGGCTGATCTTTCCATCCAACAGGGAGGCAATCGATGCCTTCTCCAGCGAATGCACTAGCTCTGCCTGCGAAAGAGCGCCAAGCTTTAGATCCAATTTAAGAATAGAGAACTCTTGCGCAATCTGCGGTGTCATCAATCTAGGCTCTGTCGGAACGCGGCGTTGGGCCGCAGCACTAGATTCTGCCAATTCGTCGCTAGCCGCCAAGGTGGCTGCGCGCCTCAGATCTGGTCGGGGCGGGGTACCGGGTCTGCTGTCATTGCCACCGAATTCGGACTGAGTCTGCTGCAGTGATGGTCGTCGGTCCATGGGTGAAGAGGGTGTGCTCTGCACGGAGGGGTAGTGGGCGGGCCATTGGCGATTCATATCCTGGAGCTCCTTCAGTGTATCGATAGTCCGGGAGATCGCGCGAGCAAGCTTGGTTCGATTTGAATTGCTGAGGATACTGTAAGCATTGCACTTCCATGGATGGGTTGTTTGCGGGGAGGCGAGACATACTAGAGAAGTTGAGAGACATGGCTGGCAACCACTTGCTTCTCATGCTCGGCTGTATCCGAAGATGAATTAGCTCAATTTTGACCCTTCTATACTGCACCACTACATGACCTCGAGTCACCTACCTGCGGGATTCCATTCTCCAGGGCGCGTTGGAGTATGCACCGGAGTCGGCCTATCCTCCATCAATCCTGCGCGCCAAGCAGAGCTTGCATCCTCCTCTGTATCAGCGATGCTGCCTCCATAGCCAGAATCTTGGTTTAGCGAAGTCATTAAGGCCGTGGCGCTGTCCGAAGTCGAACCGCTGCCCACAGTCATATAAGTCGGCGGGGGACGGAAAAAAGGATTCTTCTCGGGAAATTCTTCCTCGCCTGAGAACCTGGACGAGCCAGCTCCAGAAGACGAGCCTTCACCGGGGTGGTATTCCTGACTCATGACGGATGAAAGAGCTCAACGTGGGGGCGACATCCATCCAAGGGAATTTGTGATTTTGGTTGTTTGATTATGAGATGATCAATTTCTTGGAAGGTTTCCAGATGACGTCGGACCAAAAGGGGATTAGCGTCCATGTGACCCGGTATCATAGTAATGCGCCCGTAATCTTACCATACGGTTATTGATGTCACTGTTTCTACGGAGTACTCAGGCTCCTACATTGCACTTGGATTTACTTTTCACCTCAAACTGACTGCCCACTATTACCCGCAATCATGAATGTAAGGCGCATATGAGATCCTTGAACATGGCTATTATACTTACACGAGGTCTCTCAGATCGTCGAGTGGGCTTTCGGAAAGCGCATGACCCCCGCGGAGCGCCTGCGTAAACACCAGCGTGCCTTGGACCGAACACAGCGGGAGCTTGACCGAGAGCGAGTGAAGCTAGAAAACCAAGAGAAGAAGCTGGTACAAGACATCAAGAAGAGCGCCAAAAATGGGCAAGTTGGAGCCTGCAAGATCCAGGCCAAGGACCTGGTTCGGACACGGAGGTCGGTTTCTCTTGATTGTTTACTGATGGCAGCATTGGCTGATTCCATGGCGAGGAACAGATACATTCAGAAGTTCTATCAAATGCGCACGCAATTACAGGCTATTTCTCTACGCATCCAGGTAGGCGCAAGCTGTCCTCCGCTACCCCTCTTAGTTCCGCGATGCGCTGACTAGTGCTGCTTCCAAGACTGTTCGAAGCAATGAGCAGATGATGCAGTCGATGAAAGGAGCCACAATGCTTCTGGGTAGTATGAACAGACAGATGAATCTCCCGGCACTACAACGGATCGCGATGGAATTTGAACGAGAAAATGACGTTATGGACCAACGGCAAGAGATGATGGATGATGCGATTGACGAGGCCACAGGAATGGAAGGCGAAGAAGAGGAAGGAGAAGATATCTTGAAGGAGGTTTTGGACGAGATTGGTGTCGATTTGAACCAGGCGGTTTGTTCCCCGGCCCCTAGACATCAGAGGTGGACCCTGCAGACTAACATATTCCATCTACAGCTTGGTGAAACACCTGAACACATACAGAAAGCACCAGTGAATGAAACTCGAGTTGCACAGGCCATTGGAGGGGGAGGCAATACGAGTGATGATGACCTCCAAGCAAGACTGGACAGCCTTCGGCGATGATTACGACTTTCTCTGTTATACGCGATTGATGACAGTGATAATGCGACCTGCTATGTTGAGCCCTAATTGAGTTTACCTGCCTTGCCGTTATTATTGGCATACCCAAGATATTCCTGCAACCTTAGACCCGACTTCTCCAGCATATTCCGTTTAAGAACATTGAAGGGTGCAGATGGCGAAATTTGCGCCGGGCTATCTCTACGGAGAATAACCAAACATAATATTGTAATCTACTGCATGGGATATAGATTGCAACATGCCAATGAACCATATGGTGTTTGGTTGAGAGGAGAGATGAGGTTCGACATTCAATGATAGAATATCAATTTAGCAATTATGTCCCAGGTTATAGCAAAGTCTGCACAAAGTATGCTTTTGTTTCCGCCTTTTCTGCCGTCTACCTATAAAATTGAGAAGGCCGTTCCTATGTACAGTGGGGCCGAAACGGTCCCTATCCGCCGCAACTCCAGTCGCCGAAGAGCCTCTCGTGGGCCAGCTGCCTAGCCTATCGAGGCCTTTCGCTACGTATGTCTGATCCAATTTTCTTCCAACCCATCATATTATCATCTATTCTATCTACTAATGAACTATTACTAACACTTAAGTATCATATAGAAGATGATATCAGCATTGACCTGGATGGTCCGGGTCCGCTTCACTTAGAGGAACAGCCCTAAATTTTTTTCATGAAATAACCTTGGAAGCGTCGTTTTTGCTTACAGATCATTGAAAGGAGAATACTTTTTAAATGATCGCAAACTTGGCCGAGTTGGTCTAAGGCGCCAGGTTAGTTTAGATATGAACGTAGTCTGAATTTCCACTAACCTTGCCATACAGATTTAAGAGATTGCTCTCAAAACCCTGGTCACGAAAGTGGCGTGAGTTCGAACCTCACAGTTTGCATTTCTTTTTTCTTTTTGAGTAAAACCAGTGCACATTCTTCTAGTGGGAATACGGTGGTTTTCAAAGTTATCACTTCAAAGTCGGACTCTCGCTGTAAACCAATCCGTTACTTCTTACGCATTTCCCTCACGGTAAGGCCGTGAACTGGATAACTTTACACAAACCCATCTTATACCTAACGTGTGCTCGGCGAGGAAATATTCATATGTTAAAATCATCACTATTGAATTCAATTCAACTCGGAACTCTAATATTTAGTTGCTAAAACACTATTCTGACACGAAGGTTGAAAGCCTCAAAGCCTTAATGTGATGCCTCTTGAAGGAATGAGCCTCCCTCGTATAGAGGAGGTATTTCCTCATATTCACAATCATCAGATTCATCAGAATATGTAGAATATTCAGAAGAATCAGAAGAATATACAGGGGAATCAGAAGAATTATATCCCGGGCTGTTAAGGATGGGGATTGACATACCTTTGTCCACTGATATACTTGACCATGGGAAACCTATTCGGCCTTCCGTACGGGTTGCATCATCGAATTCCTTGATAAAAGGTCTTTTTAAAGGGCGACCAGACTCGAGTTCTTCAGCAGACCATCGAGAGAACCAAGGAAATGATGATAACTCTTCCAACGACGGCCGGTCGGACTTGTCTCTCGACAGTGTGGTTTGTAACACATCCCTGCAGTCCTGTGAGAGCGATTCGCTGATTGCTACATCCTCGTTAATCATTCTCTTACGTCTGCGTTTGACTATTGGATATAACGGGTCATTGTAAGGACCACCATACCTACCAGGCCATCCCATACCTCTCGGAAATGGTTCAGGCTCATCCCAGGGCCAGAAGCCATGTAGAAACCCGTACGCTATGGTTGAATATTTCCATAGGCAAATTTCCCGCACATCTGTAGGTAAGTAGATCGTTTCGATTCTGACATCATCATGGGATGTATCCCTCCAGGTGTCGTACTTTTCTAGTTCGATGGCTCGCTCAGGCATCATCTGGTACTCGTGGTAGGGGATAAAGTGATCTCTCTTCCTTGCGAACCCCGATTTCTTAAGCGAGAAGTCAAAAAATCCAAAATCGATCAGCTGGACGTTCAGGTTTTGGTCTATGAGATAATTCGCTACCGACATATCAGCGTGGTAGACGTTCATATCGGCCAATTCTACCATGGCTTGGAGAAGCTGGGAAGCAACTTTACAGCCTTCTATTTCCCCCATTTGGGGTTCTTTGGAGTCGGCCATGAAATATCTGCCTTCAAATGATGGAAACGGGGGGTATCTCTTTCGGATGCGTGGTATGGCCCCCTTTGACTTGATCCTATCAAAATGACTCTCATCAATAGTTGAAACAGCTTCATAGCTAGGATCAACACAGGGACTCATAATCATTGCTGTTAACATACCATGAGTGTAGACCGAGTTGAGCTGCGGGAACCTGTTGCTATCATCGAGATAGATCAGAAGGAGAGCTTCTAGTGGCATATATCGTTTTCTTCCGGTAGGCTCACGAAATGGCACCATACTGGTTAGTTCTCCTTTTTTCACGTCCATCCACCGTGTGTTGTAGACTTGAGATTTGATTGCGTATTGTTCAAGGTCCTCCAGGGAATCACCAGCGGCGCCTCTCTCGCGTGCAATAAACGTGACACCAAATGCTGTGATCAGTCAGCAATGTATACAAAAGACATCAGATCAAGGGGAGAGAATGATCTTACTTCCTACGCCTAGAACTCCATATATCTGCACTCGCTCTTGAAGGTCCGGACAAAGGCATACTGCCTTGGCCGTAGTCCTTCCCTCACCACTCAAACGGATGAAATCTTCATAAGAAGTCTTGTTGCCGTTTTGAAACATTGAGCTGTCGCATCTGTGACCTAAATCATCCGGGCAATTACACCTCGAGTATTCCTCGTTATTCCGTTTGCTAAATGCTACCCCTAGGCGTTCTCGAAGAACCTGACTCAGTTGGGGATATCTTTGGGACAATTGGCTTGAGGGGTTTAAAAAAGCTTCGGCATTTTCATGGAAGCTATCCTCGGAGCGTCGATAGATGAGTGGCAAGGGAACCTTGTAATTGTGATTCCCTTTGATTGCACCCAAGTCTCTGTCTAGGAGGTAATGAAAAGCGTAAGGATCCTGTGGATCAATGATATGTTCAGTCATGGTATAGATTAATCAAATAGAGAAAAAAGTAGTGTGGGAAGTGAGGAAAGCTCAAGGAGCGAAGCTCATAGATATATATATATATATATTCAAAGGAAGTTCAATGTATTGTTCTCAGAGACAAAGGTACTATAAAAGGAAAAACAACTTTTGGAACAAAGAACCACTACCCAAGGCTACCTAGAATGAAACTAGGCTGCCAAAAACCTCTTATAAGATCTCGTATCCATTTACCCATTTACCTATGAATAAGATACAAAATATGCCCGGGTAGTCCAGCTGAACATCAGGTGTTCGTTGATTCGGCCCCCACGTGGGCGTGTCCATGAATCTCAGCCTCGCGCTGCCTCCATACACCCGGGCACAAAAGCAACGGGAGTCAGATGAGATATAAGTACGGGAAACGATGTATATATAAATATTTAGAATTCCCCCGCTGAGGTTAAAGAATCATATTATTTATAAGTGATTTTTCAAAGAAACAAAGAGACTCTTTCAAACCAATGTCTACCCTTAATGTCGACCATGCGACACAAATGTCGAAAGATACCCCAACAAATCTATTGTCTTCGGTCGGTCTTTCACAATATGTCCAGAAAGATCCAGCCTCCGAATCAACTCCTGTTTATGAGGGTTTCTCCTTTTCCAAGGCTATGCCTGAGGAAAGTGCAACCTGGACATGCGTGAAACGGACACCCATGCATCTGAATCAAGACGAGTACTCCAAACTGGTCCAGAAGAGGGCAAATAAGAAGTCCACAGCACAGCAATACCAGAGCCTATCCTCCGATACCCAGCGAGCTCATATCAATCAACTAATTGACGAACAAAAACAAAATAGTCCACTTGTTGAGTGGAGCTTCGTCTATGTCAAAGAGCACACAAAGGTATCCAAGGCCCGAAATACTCATCGCAGTGAATATGAAACGGTCACAATGGATGTGATAATCATGAAAACACCCATGAAGACCCAAGCATATTCTAGGCCCTTGATGGGTGGCTCAGAGGCTATTGGGAAACCTTTTTGGCCGGATACAAAGAATTTATCTATGTGGCCTCGTCACAGACAGCATGCCCTGCCGCCGGACCAGAATGGGAATAATTTGCGGCCTGTACGTCAACTGCTACCTTCCCAACTGGCTCCAGCGATGATCCCCTTTGCACCTTTGAATGCAGCTCAGCGTGCTGCCTATCCAGATGGCCAGTTTTTAACTGCACATCTCGAACTTGAGACAAGTCACCCAGAAGCATCGCGGGACCTGATGCGTGAGTCTGCCAGGTCTGCTGCAACCATCAACAGTGGACTAGCAGGTCCGGGCTTTAGTGCCAGAAACAAGAGCAACATGAGTCTTGAGCATCCTTTAGATTGTTCATCGGACAGTGACAGCGACTCAGATGATGCATCTATGCTCTCTGATCAATCAGATGAAACATCTGCAACGGACGATCTAGAAAGCATGGAGACCGAGACCGAGACTGAGTGTCAAGAGCCACAACTGAATCGGGCCTCTATCCGAAAGCAGAATGCCAGTCCTCATCGTCGCGAGTCGATTTATGGGCCTCATTCTCCCCGGAAGCCCCAAAGCCGTAGCCTTGACAGAAGACATGACAGGAATTCCCGTCTCCGCGACCAATTTGAGGTACCTCCAGTCAAGACTTTTGGTCCAAGACGGGCTGAGGACGCTCGATCAGGCTCAGTACCCGGTAGAAGATATAGAATGCAGCTGATTAACGACAATGAGATCCGAAGCCGAATGCTTGATCACCGTGAAGCCAGTCTTGGACATCGCGAGAAATGGCTGAAGAAAACCATTTCTGAAGCGCGTCGTCAGCCAGTGAAGGATCAGCCAACAGTGTGTCGCTGTACCTGTCGTTGTGCGATCAAGAAGAGTGAAGCTGCGTGACAGATACATCATTTTACTTTGGATAGTTTTGGATATTGCTACTGGTTTGTTTTTTCAGTTGCGCAGTTAGTTTGGAATAGGCAGATTGATACAACGGAATTTGATCAGTGCTAGGTATAAGACATCTTATAAGACTACATATATATATAAAAAATGATTACCAAAGGACTAGTCCTACAAAGAACATTCTCCTTCTCCCCTACTCCTTACCTATGATTGATCTTCCTTTTTCTCTTAGCTCACGTTAGTTGATACATGTAGTCTTCTTTTCCTTCTGCTTTTATATCTTTCATTTATATTAATATCTCTTCTGCTCTCTAACTGGGCAGAGTATTCATCCATTCTATAAGACAAGAATATATCCTCAGTTATAAAAGATACCTTGATTTCTGCAAGTGGTTATGGTGTCACGCTAGAACTAGATCTCCTTAATAAGATCCTCCCGAAAAGTAGTTCATTCGTGAACCTAGTCCTAGTGACGTGTCTCCTTGCAATTGTAGATTATATATAGAAAAGAGATTGAATGTCAAAGCTCAAATCCCAACGTATGATGCCTACCCCCGGTTAAGGAATCCCCGGTGAGCCCCGGTGAGCCCCGAGGGTGACCGATGTCATAATTGACACCTAATAATTCAGGCAGTCGATCAGCATGCCCCTCCATTTACACCAATTTACTTTCCGTCCTTCTTCTTCCTCTTAGCTATCAACATCCCTTACACTTCTTCTTTCCCTCTTCAATCCACATAATCTTTCAATATGCCTCGCCAATTCTTCGTCGGTGGTAACTTCAAGATGTATGTTATCTCGAGCTTCGCTACCCCGCGGTCTCAAACCCCTCAATTATTTGCCTACTCGTTCCATGAAAGACCGCGCAATTGACCATATAAAGGAACGGTGTTGCTCAGAGCATCACCGACATCGTGAAGAACCTCAATGCCGCCAAGCTCGACGAAAGCACCGAGGTCGTCATCTCTCCCCCCGCCATCTACCTCGCTCTGACCCGCGAGCTCGCCGACCCCAAGATCGGTGTTGCTGCCCAGAACGTCTACGACAAGCCCAACGGTGCTTTCACCGGCGAGATCAGCGTTGAGCAGCTCCGCGATAACAAGATTAACTGGGCTGTCATCGGCCACAGCGAGCGCCGCGTGATCCTGAAGGAGTCTGATGAGGTATGCATACCCGCAGTCCCCCAATCATCCGCCAACACTACAGCCAAATGCAACACAAACTAACTACCGCCCTATAGTTCATTGCCCGCAAGACCAAGGCCGCCATTGAGGGTGGTGTCTCTGTCATCTTCTGCATCGGAGAGACCCTTGAGGTACGTCATTCCTACCCGGATTTCCCATTTTCGTCCCGATAGTGGGTCATCGGGCCAAGACCGGGTATATGTTTTCTGAATGCATCCCGCTCACACCCGATTTCTTATGCAGGAGCGTGAGGCCAACAAGACCATCGAGGTTGTCACCCGCCAGCTTAACGCTGCCGCCAAGGAGCTGAGCGCAGAGCAGTGGGACAAGGTCGTCATTGCCTACGAGCCCGTCTGGTATGAACTTACCCCATTGCTTCTATATGAACGTATCTCTGGACATAGCTGACATCTATCTGTAGGGCTATCGGTACCGGAAAGGTCGCCACCACTGAGCAGGCTCAGGACGTCCACGCCGCTATCCGCAAGTGGCTCGCCGACTCCATCTCTGCCCACGCCCAGGAGAGCGTTCGCATCATCTACGGTGGCTCCGTCAGCGAGAAGAACTGCCGCGAGCTTGCTACCCAGCCCGATGTTGACGGTTTCTTGGTTGGCGGTGCCAGCTTGAAGCCTGCCTGTAAGTTCTTAGCACATGCCCATCTACTGAAACTATTCACCAAATTGGTACTAATCAACATCTGCAGTCGTCGACATCATCAACGCCCGCATCTAAGAGGTTTCCGAAAGAAACTAATACCCCCATAGTGCCCCTATTATCAGAGTAAATAGCTCTGGCCTGTAGGCGTCAGTAGAAGACAAAAGCTTGGAATGTCAAGTATATTACCATGAATCTATGTACAATTCTGAAGTATATTTCGATAACACATAATCGTTGCTACCCCAGCGGAGCAGTTATTTTCCTCCTAGACAACAAATGTGGTCTTATATAGCACGTAACTTACGAAGAGTACAACACCGAGACCCCAACCCCACGCCAATATGACATCCCAGGAGCCCCGCTTCCACTCTGGGCCGAACCGCTGGCCGATGCCGAAGAAGCAGAAGGCGACACTGAGAACGAACCCGGACCCAGCCCGACGCCCGCGCTCACCAGGAGCTCCTTGACCCGGCCTTCCCAGAGAAGCCGCACATTCCAAGACTGATCAATGCGCAGCTTAATGACAGAATCACTCGTCTCGGCCTCACTGTGACCATTGGAACCCATCGGGCCCTCGGGACGAGCCGGGTCCTCTAGGAGCGGAGAAGCCGGCGAGCCAGGCAGGGAAACGCTGAAGTCATGCATGCGCATTTTGCGGCGTGCCCATTCCAGATCGTCGTCACTGGAAGAGCTGGATTTCTTGTTTTGACGCCACAACTCGCAGCCAGCGACCATTTCGCTTTCCCAGCTGTAGACGTTGAAGCCGAAGCGAGAGCTGAAGGCAAGATTGGGCGAGGCGCGGAGAGAGTATGTTGTTGATAAAGAGCCCACAATCGGGGCTAATGTTAATGTTAGAGTGTAGGGGAAGGTTGAGATGGGTGTTGGGATGCTGGAATGTGATGATGATGGCGGGACCTCTGTGGCTGCGGGTAATGTGGTGAATCGTAAGCCGGTTGACATGCCGATCAGTGATGAGATGGGGGAATAGTATGCCTCTGCGCCTGCGGACAGGAGGGACAATGGTGGTGGGACGTCCTTGCGTGTGTATCGAGGATCTGGGCCGAAGTTCCAGAGTCCTCGCCAACCGAATAGGGCGTTGTCTGTACTGAAGAGATACTCGTTGCTGTACTTGCCCGTGTCGTGGGATAGCTGTGTGAGCATTGAAGCCTGTGGTGCGGACTTGGATTGCGGCGGTCCCTGAGTGGAGCAGACAGCTAGTGAAAGCTGCATATTGGTAGAGATTCTGCGCAGAAAGAGCGCATATAGAGTGGTGGGAGGTGGAAGATGGAGAGAAGCATGGAGGAGAGTGGCTTTCCGCTTTGCCTCATTTTCTCTACTGTGTTCTCCATCTTTGAGATTTGATTGTTTTGGGTGACTTCCGGCCTTGAGCCCGGGAATCCTCACGCTGTCTAATAGCGAGTCCGATCCCCATATCTGGATCGGGGGCGCGGGGGCCTGCACTTGGCGGTATCCCGGGGATATCTTTCGAAGCGGGATTGATGCGCTTCCACTTGGTAGGTTGTTGAATGGCACAGTACTAAATAGGTATGACACAGATCCATCGAGTAATCCAACGGTGCCGAGTGTGTAACTTGTCGCAAAATGGGGGGTGGCCAGTGACGAAAGGTGAACGCGTAATCGTTCGGGTGTCGAGAAATCTAGGATCGCTGCACCAGATATGTTAGACCAGCAAGTTCCCTATTCTATAAAGTGACTTTCAGGGATAAATCAATCGCATACATTGAGCGGTAGTGTTGAGTGACGAGTACGAGTTGTCGCGATTCCAGTGGGTCGCCTCGGCGAAGGATAGCTGGATGTAGTCCATAAAGTCCAGCATTGTCCAGAATTGGCCCCTGCAGGCGACAATATGACTAGCACGGTAAAATCAAAGAAAAGACCGTCTAAAGGAAGCACAATTGAAATGGACCGTGTCTAAGAGATCACAGCTGATTGCCCCATTCAGGTTAGCGTTGGATAAGCCCGGCGGTAGGTTAATCCGGTTATCAGCGAAGAAAAAATGTCTGTGGGGGAAACATCTAACCTTCTGTCTGAATTCATTGAACCACCAATTCTAAAATCATAATTCACCATGCCTCGTTCAAAGCGTGCGCGCGTCGTCCACGAGTCGAAGACTGTCAAGAAAGATCACAAGGAGCAGACCCGCCGGCTATTCGCCAACATTCGGGAATGTATCGAGGAATATGATCACCTTTTCCTCTTTGCGGTCGATAACATGCGAAACACCTACTTGAAGGATGTGCGCACTGAATTCGGCGACAGCCGGTAAGAATCATCACTCCAATCGGCATTTGCTTGAGATATTGAATCGGAAAAAGCGCTGAATACCAGCGGTGGATCCGATATCAAATATTGATATGCAAACCCTTCAACCAAGATCAGTCATCTAACAATGTAATTCTAGAGTTTTCTTCGGTAAGACAAAGGTCATGGGCAAGGCCCTTGGCTCTGATATCGAAAGCGAAGCCGCTCCCAACCTGCGCAAACTCGCTCCTTTCCTCGCCGGCGCCGTTGGATTGCTCTTCACCTCCCGCACTCCGGAATCAGTGATCGAATACTTCGACACCTTCCGTCCCCAGGATTTTGCCCGCGCTGGAACCGTCGCCACCCGCTCTTTCACCATTCCTAACGGTCTGGTTACCGCTCGGGCCGGCGAGATTCCTGCTGAGCAGGATGAGCCTGTCAGCCACACCATTGAGCCCGCGCTCCGCAAGCTCGGTGTCCCCACCCGTCTGGTGAAGGGCAAGGTTATGCTTGAGTTGGTCGAGGGCCAGGAGGGCTACCCCGTATGCAAAGAGGGAGAGACTCTGGACTCACGACAGACTACGTTGATGAAGATGTTCGGTGTCACATCGTCCGAGTTCAAGGTCGATCTCAAGGCCTACTGGACGCGGAGTACTGAGGAGGTCAAGCTCCTCGAGACTGAGGGTAAAATGGATGTTGATGCATAGATGGGGATCTTCATGTTTTTCCGTTTTTTATTTCTTCTCTTTCCCATTCGGCTTCCGTGTGGCCGAAAAAAAGAACTCTGCTGGGCATCTTATGGAGTTTGGTGAGGGCGCTTTCTTTGCAAATATATTGAAGACTTGTGTGTTTTATCTCTCTTTCTCTCATTCTTATATGGGGGGGACTATCCCTCCTGCTGGATTATGAGCCTATGACAAGATTCGGATACCAGGTCGAAAAAAAGTCTACAAATTTACTTCGTTCTTGGACATTTATCAACTGTAGTACAGAACCGCTAGCTGTAATGCCTAGACTTTCATCTATCTAGCAAGATACCTGCCTTCAGTCATTTCACATGGTCCTTACCTGGTCTTACCTGATGGTTCACCAGATTCCATTTCGCGCGGAAGAGGACCGACTAAAATACAAATACTTACCCCTGCAGAGTAAACGAAATCTCATTAGGACCAAGGGGATGAAAAAGGAAAAAAAAAGAAAGAGCATTGGAACACAAGTGAAGAAAGAAAACACCCAAGGGAAACAAAGAGAGAACGGGGAATACAAGCACAATTCATGAGGGTCTCCGTCTGCCAGGGAGTTTAGGTGGACCAAGCAGGGGATATAGAGAATAACCACTTTGGCATCGAGTTTTGATGCTGATATCGCGGCATGAGGTGGAAAACATGGACGGTTGTGATCGTTACAATGGACCGAATTGCACATGGGCCAAATTCATGATTTACCCCCTTACCCTTAAGAAAGAGTCATGAAAACTGGGTAGATCAGTTATACCCACCAGCAAGCCCAGACTTTGATCGGAAAGAGGTAAGACCCGGGGGATAAGTGAAGGTTTAGTACCTTCTCCTGGAACGAGGATCATCGTGTCCAGGTTCATCCTCACGGTTTCGCTTGCGTCCATAATCCTCCCGACCAGCATCACGACCACCGTCGCGACCACCATCACGGCTGCCGCCGCCGCCATACCTGTCACCACCACGCTCACGATCCCGGTCCCGGAATCGGTCTCCTCCATTTCGGTCTCCCATGCCTCGGTCTCCCATGCGGTCACGATCACGATCTCTGTAACGGTCGTCGCGGTCATAGTCGCGGCGGTCACGGTCGGCAAAGCTGTCTCGAGGTCGCACAGGCTCTGAATTGCTGCCGGTTACACCACGGTCGAATCTGCCGGCGCCACCACCGCGGTCACCACCACGATCACCGCCGAAGCCACCTCTGAAGCCTCCGCTGCGTCCACCGCCAGGGCCAGAGGGGGCGTTGGGGGAGCCTGTCCACCAAAGCCGCCACGGTTACCCTGGTATCCGATACCACCGCGAGGGCCACCAAAGCGATCACCACCGCCGCGATCACCGCCACCGCGGAAACTTCCACCACGGAAGCCACCACCCCCACCTCTGCCACCGAAGCCTCCGCGGAATCCGCCTCCATACCCACCTGGACCAGATGGTGCGTTGAAACCAGGGCCACCGGGGCGGGAAGGCATAGCCTTGGTGTATCCGCGCCCTCCGAGGCCACCACCAAAGCGACGAGGCTTCCACCCCTTGGTGGTGCGGCCGCGCTCGACATCTACCAGGACTCGTCGGTCTTTGATTCGGATGCCATCTGTTTCTTTGTAGGCCGCTGATATTGGGGAAATAACTGGTGTCAGCAACATTTCTTACCGCAAGACGGAATAAACGAGTTGGGTTAGTGCCAAATAATTTGGCATGGTGGTGATACCTTTCATATCCTTCTCGCGCTCATACACGATGAATGCATAGCCTTGGTGGGCTTTCTTTTTCTTCTCTGATACTGTATCTTTGACCAGGGTAATCTGTCATACAATGTTAGCACTTGCAGTTTTCACAAAGCATAAGGAAAACAATACATACTCTTTCAATGGGGCCAAATCGGCCAAATTCTCGTTCTAGGTCGGCTTCTTTGACTTCATAACTGAGGCGTGCAACAAAGAGAGTCTTGAATGGGTCACCTCGAGCTTGAGGATCTTTCTCTGGATTGACTATAAGACGTAGCCACGTTAGCATCTTGAAATAAAAATTCAAGTGAGAAGAAGACAAAGCGTACAGTGTTGCAGTCCATCTGCTATCTGCTTCTCTAGCCGCTCTTTCTTCTCTGTCTTCTGACGCAATTTGCGCTGCACCCAGCTTTCCGTTGCATTGTAGGGAACTTCGTCGGCAAAAGTTTTAGCATCGGCAAGGAACTGGGCAACTCCAGAGATAGTGCTCTTTTGACAGTCATCTGGTGCGCGATCGCCTGGAGGCAGATATCGAAGGGGTGGACGAGGCTGGAATAGCGCCAAAAGCGGCGGGGGGAGCTTATCTGTCATACTGAGTTGTGAACCCAATGCAGACAAAGTCGGGACGTGGGGTAGCGACGATGTGTGAAAGTCGATCAGGAGTGAGAGAGCTTCGCGTCGCAGTTCTGTCGAATGATGGAAGTTCACTGCACACGCCATTGGTGCCGCGAACTCACCGCCCTTGACAATCACGTGCACCAGAAAATGCCCCGGAGAGCCATCGCGACTTGTAAACTACGACAATAAGTATTGACGACTAGAACGATGCCTTTGCGTGGAATTAGAACGTCTACGGCGGCCAGGGTATGTGATTTCCATATCCCTCATATTCAATTGCCGAACTGACCCAGGCGATCTCCTTAGAACGGCGCCGGTGCCTTCATCCTACAATGCAAACGCCTTGACTTCCATTACTGCAACTGGGCGGGCAGCTCAAAGGGCATGGTGTAGGTGTACCCTGAATGGTACAATTTGCCTTTCCAGAAACATCCGAACTGACATTGAATGTCGCAGTGCTTTCTTGGAGAAAAACCTCCCCGCCTTCGCCCGCGAAAACCCTCAGATTGAGATCCGTGTCTCTCCCCGACCCCAGAAGCACCCTCTGATCAAGGGCCTCTACATCAATGGCCGTGAGAAGCCCGTATGTGTACGGAACTTAGACCCCAGCGAAATCTTGAAGAAGGCAAACCTCCTCAAGGAAGCCAGTGGAGAGAAGTTGAAGCGGGTCAAGAAGCCGGTCACAAGTTTGAATGAGAGTGTGCGTGGTATCTGGTCACCATACCACGGCGATCTTCGGGGTGTCTAGACGGAGGTATTTTGTTTTGTTTTTTACGGTTCTTGTTCTCTCAGCGGTGGTGATTATCAGGTATCACCACTGCAATCTACTGTACTATTGACCTGGGTTCTGTTTTATTTCTTCATTCTTGTCTATTTGCTACCTGGAAGCCAATGGTGTTTTGAACCCCATATTTTATGCATACCAAACTCAAGCCTGCATCAATTTGAAGACAACAAGTCTACAATGAACAATCCGTACTTCAAGATTAACAACCTATATGCACATTCAAGTGTCTCAGCCTTGGATTTTGGGTTGTGACTGAGAGATATGTTATAGATGTTGCAAGATTTGTTTGCTCTACATATGTATGCATTTGAAATGTAGGTATCTCCGTAGTGAATTTCCTTTGCAACTTCTTGCTTGAATCTCTTGATGCCTGACTTGACCAAACCCGTCATGTATACTCTTCATTTCTATAGATGTTATTTCGTTATCCCGCCAGCAAGAGGAATATTCGCCAAAGCCTACATTACCGATTAGTACCTAGTACTTCGACTACTTCTGGTAACTACCTTGACATACATGTGTATATTGTGGCCTCGGAGGTCATTAGCTAGCAACTTGCTTTTATCTGGAAAGTCCACGGGTCGACCGTTTGAATTAGAAACCTCGAGACTCGGGGCCTATAGTGCTACCGGTAGAAGGGATCTCCTTTTTAGGATTCGATGACCCGAGCACAACATAGTAAATGATAATAGAGTAGATCTTGAGGTTCCTAATTGAAGCTCTGCAGGCGTCTTTGCCTTGTTTCAAGCATGCGGATACACCCAAAGTCACCCACAAAGTACAAAGTACAGAGCATGTAGCTTCTTATTGGCGAAGACGGTCTAAGCCACATGAATCGCGGCACATCGCGATGATCACTACTGAAAGATGTTTTAGCCCCAATTTTCTCGTATGAACGAAACCGCCCCCGGGGCTAGGCTAAGCTAGACTAATCACAGGGGGAAAGAAAAAAAACGCTGGGTATTCCTCTGCCTAAGATCCACGACTTCTATTAGAGCCATGGCGCCAAGGCCAGATTCAATCTCGTCGGGATCTCTTTCTCGAGGATCACGACATTCCTATAATGCAGTTAGCCCAATTCAAGATGAAATATCCGAGACTGAAGCCACGCGAAATTCAGATGAAGGTGACCAAGAGCCACAAAAGCCAACTCTCTCAGCTCCCCCGTCGGCAAGACTGCATCGCTCCGGGTATATCCTATCCATCGTGTTTTTATACATTGGCTTGGCAATCTTCGCATGGGTGGTGACCTGCTATTTATCATTCCGTCCCATCACCACAAAGCATTATGACCTGCGGGCCCTTGATAACAGCAATTGGGCAGAGCCTGATAGGAACTACGAAAATCCTCTTTTCGGTCGCAATGAACGGTGGTATCGCGCTGCTCGAATTATCCAGTCTGTTGTTAGTGTTTTGACCATTCCCCTGACCTCCGCAGTCTGCTCCAGCGCAGCAGTCATTTTTATTCAACAAAGGGCCCATAAGGGTATCACGGTCCGGCAAGTGATGACCTTGGCAGATAAAGGCTGGGCCGATCTCGCGACCTACGCCAGAATTCTTCCATTCCTCGCCACCGATGGGTGGAACCGGCTTGGAAGTTCATTCCTTCTGCTGGCTATCCTTCTGAATCTCCTCGGTTCCGTGATATCGCCGCTTCAGCAATTGTTCCTCTCGACTCGCACTATCAAGATACCAACTTACCCTACTTGGGTAAATGGCCAACTGGATATCCCAGACCAGTTTAAAGGGAATGCCGGTGATGATTCGAACCTTGTTGTGTCCATGACACGCAGCGCTTTAACCTCAACGACAATTTCAGAGGTCCAGTCCCAGCTCTGGCAGGGCGCCAACGTCACTTGCGTGCTCAAATATGGCACCCAGAAATTGCCGCAATCCTGCAGATACGGCGGTAGTACTTTGGCAAATATTTCCCAATTAGCGGAGCCATTTCTGGCGGAGCTCCCGAGTGGCTATAACACTGGACTTTATCAGCAATTTATCCCGCGATTCAATTCGAGTGCTCAGTATGATAGAATTGCCCAAACTGAATTCCCCACCGGGTGTGACAAGATTGACGGTGCCTTCTACGTTGGCTATACGAACGTCACTACCGACCCCAATGGTCTCGTGTATACCTGGGGAATGCAGGCGTGTATGCCTGGGGACCTGACCACGTCGCCATGGAAATCGACCCGGGACCGACAAGACTTCACCGAGGAGCTTTATTTGAATGTGACATTGATTCAATACAATGTGAACAAACTGAACACGAACCAGCAAAATAGTACATTCTATAAGGTGACACTCGACACAACTGCTGGATATTTTGAGCTACCGAACTATATGAATGGCAAAATTGCTGGGCCATTGCTCGAAAAATATCCCAATAGTCTTTGTGGAGAACACTGTGAGCCAGAGACGATCAACGGCGAGTAAGTCTCTAGGTTTTTAATTTGTTTTTTTTGTTGTTTTCAAGCAAGATACTCACATATCGAGCGCAGCGAGGAGCACAAGATTGGTGATTTGCGGCGCGATCTCAACACAGCGAATGATCCAACTCTGCCGCTAGAAGTGGTTGCCAACAAAGGTCCCTTACTGACAATAGCTATGGCGCTATTCGGAGACACATCTTTTATTCAAAGTCGTCAGGCATATCCCCAAGCTTATGCTTCCGTCATCAATTTTAATGTACCTGTGGAGCAGGTCCCTGCTTATGCAGGGTCTTGTGTCGACCTGGCTCCCCTAGCTATTCTTCTCTCCGGAACCAGCGGGGAGCATGACAGCACCAATGGCATCAGTTATTGCATTAGCAATACAGATGGAGGTGTGAATGGCACGGAAGTTAACTCGGAAGTTGCCCAGTGGCTCTCCAATTTCAACTACGACCAAGAACGTGTTAAGAATGCCTTTGAAGCTGCCGCATTTTTGGCAACCAAAGCCTGGATGCAGAATGGCGTCGGCCCAGCACAAAAATCATTGCAAGTGAATTTCGATCTTGGCGCGGATACACAAATCCCCGTCATATCTAGAGGTGGGCATTATTTTTGTTTCTATTCTTCTTGGATTGTACGTTTTGATGCTCATCCCACTTGCCATCTACGCCACCTGGACACCTCGTTGGACTGCACAGCTAGACTCGTTTGCTATGATGAGAATCGGAGCTGCCATTGCCGAAAAGCTGCCTTTGACTGTTGGTCAGAATAAGAATACGATCAAGTCCCTGGATGAGATTCCTGGGTGGATTGGTGATACATCGGAGGAGAAGGAGCCGCTCGGGAGGTTGGGACTTGGTGCTGGGAGGTCTTTAGCTTCACGAGCGAATCGGCGGTTTGAATGTGAGGAGGAAGATGACGAGGAGATCACAACCGAAGAGAAGTACGTGACCCGGAGAGGGTTGGGAAAATAGATCGAGACGAGTACTAGAGTTGATCACGCTTAGAGAGGAGTCACATTGGGCCATGTTCAATACTTCAATACCCGAAAGAAAGCCATCGTCCCACGACTATTTGATTTACCCATTACACAAGGTATGACACAGATGTCCAATTCGGTTCGGAATTTGTGTATTTCTCGACGTCAACTTGCCTTTAGCTCGAGATATGGACTGAAATTTTTCTGCAGCTACTTGAATAACCAGCTACCATCTAATCAACGGCTTGTAGGTAAGAGGAATAAATTTCAAATTGAATGAATGGCTATGTAATTGCAACGTAAATGAGAGCTTATATTCATGCAAGGTCCTCAAACCCTCACAAAGGCTCACATGATCGCGCAAACTAACAGGCTGAGCTCGTGTGGGTAAGCCAGCGACCAATTTCAATGAAAGGCAATAGAAGATAAACCAACCTTTGCTGTAACTTATTTCGGGTCATCGTAGGCCATCTCGTCTCGAAAAGCGGCAGCGCCGTCCTCTTTAGGAGAGCGTTCCTCCTCGTAGCCCTTACTGAACCAATAGCCGGCAGCATCATCCTGTTTGAGAGAGCGTTTCTCCGAGTAGGCCTTCTCGAAGTACGCAGCGCCGGCTGCTTCATTGGGCGAGCTAACGGGGACTGCAGCTACAAAAGAGGCAGAAAGCGCAACAAACAAAGCAAATGAGAATTTCATTTTGACAGGGCGAGAGACCAAAGCTAGGTTTTGGTATGTGTGTAAATTGGATTGAATGTAGAAGCAGATTGTGAGTAAAAGGACGTAGGAAATAGCCGGTCTTTATAGCAATTTGGAAGCAGACCCGTCTCAAGCCCCAGAAGCAACTACACTTACTGGAGTTACCCATCAATACCTAACTAGACGTATGTTCATGTTCCACCAATGTAACAATGCATGGGCATCAACTCCAATAAACTAGCATTTCCCCCAAACGGTAAGAGAAGCAATTACGCAGTTGTGAGATACGTCCATATGTTCTTCAGTTGTATGGCTAGTGGCAAGTTTGGATTCTTCCGATAGATACCACATTTGTACGGGGATCTTTGATCAAATTAGAATGGCAGACCACTGTACGTCTTTCAATAAGCATCTTTTCATGTTTTTGGAACCGTGCTGGAGAATCAACCGAAGCTGTCAGCTCTTTCTTTCACCTTATTCTCGTTACGTGCTTCCCAACACCCCGGACTTACAAGAGGATAAAAGCATCCGACTCTTGAGAAAAAACGAAAATGGTGTTCACATTGTCTTACAAGAAGGAAGACCTCTCAGTAGAAAAGTATGGAGAGCAAAATAAATTACCTCTCATCGGGATAAAAAGATCCCACATCGATCGAAGTTTCTGCCAGGTGCCGTTCCTAACGGCCATTTCTATTGCATTTTTTGGAGGGGCCTTCTTGCTGTTTGCTGCATCGCTCACCATTCTTGCACCCAGTGACCTGAAATGTGCGATGCAGTTATCATCTTATTGTGGGCTCCAAGTTGCCTGGCCAAGTGGCCCAGAACCATTGAAAGATCTGCTAATTGGAACTATTTTAGCCCCAATGCTAGAGGCAGTGAAATATTACGAGATCGACTGGGCAAACGAGTTCCACCAGGAGTCCATCTATCGGGGATCGCCGACTCCAAAGTTAGACCTCGCATGGGATCGTCTTTGGAGACGTAAGTATTGCAGTTAATTTCAATCTTCGGCCAAGCCACTAAAGTTGCATAGAAAACGATATCAACGTTCCTCTCAGCAAGCTATCCTCCCTCAATCGATCCGCAGATGCGAACTGGAAGCTAACACCTGCGCAATATGGTGGAGGCGCCGAAGCTAACGTAGAGGTGTTCCATCAGCTGCATTGTCTGGTATGTGAATAATGACCTACCTGGATATCTCACTTGGGTGACTAATTTCAATTTCTCATTTTAGAACATGATTCGACAGTACACCTACCTGGACTCATACGAAGTGCCACCGAAGGGATTTCGGGGATCCCTGGAGATGTCAAGAACCCATGTTGACCACTGCATTGAGACGCTGCGTATTCATCTCATGTGTGCAGGGGATGTGACGCCTGTGCTGTTGAGACTAGATGACTCCAAGCCACTTGGGGCCGAGGCAGATTTCTTGACGCACCATAAATGTCGCCGATTTGATAAGTTGACTGAGTGGATGGAGATGCACGCTTTACCCGCAGAGGAGCGTTAAAGATTCCCCATGGTGGTGCAGATGCATATTCGAAATTGCCAAACTACCAGCAGACTGTCACTTTCTATCCAAATTAGAACCCCTCTTATAACCTGTCAATCAATTCACGAATCCTTTCTCATACAAAATTCCCGTGAGGTTCTAAACAACAGATTGAAGTGGGTCTTATATAAAATCGGAGCTAATATTGACCAATTAAGAGTTGGATAACTACTCTTATAGGCTCCACCTATTAGGTCCTAGTCCTTTCGGGAATATCAAAGAGTTTGCTATAGTTAAAATTGGAAGTGTAGAATGTGTGATATTATATGGCTTTCTGGGTATAGAACTTGTAGCCCAAGCAATACTTTCAAAGTATTTTTAGCAAATGTTTTCCTGTGTCTCATTTGACCCGTTATACCTGGATTCTAGACACTCTTTTAAATAGTATCATTAGTAAAGGTCATGAGTCCTATATTTCCCTTCTACTTATTCCTAGACCGGTGGATTGGAGGTCTAGTAGCAGCCAGCATAAACCCATTCCCACACAGGAATTGACCGAACATTCTAATCGTCAACCCTGTATCACGTTCTTTGGGCGCTTGTATCAGATAGGGAGGTTCAAACACGGAACGGAGAAGGATGTTAACTGCGGGTGAATATCTAGAGGAGGTACCTCAAGACGTCACGAACCTAAAGAGGAGAATTTTGAATCATGCAATGATATCTCGGGGGTCCGGGAAACGCATTTTATATCCGAGGTCTTGGTTTTGTAAAAGAGCAAATCTCAAATCTGGCTTAAAATACTTCTGCCATCTAGATCTGATAACCACTCATCTTGACTTGGCTTGTATTTGAAATTATAGCCCTATTGAGGCTCACCTCGGTAAGCCTGTGAATATTATAGGTAATCTGTTTGACCGGGGGTTTTGTGTTAGCATTGTAATCACTGGAAAGGAGCACGTGCGAGTAACCTTGGAAGACCATCCCCTGCTCTTCTATATCTCTGGAATGCTCTTTCCTCTCTTTCCTCTCTTCTCTTCCACTCACATCTCTGACATTTCAGCTGCCTCGCTTGGAATGTGAAGATGGAGTGTGATATTTCTGCCGACACTCACTTCGGACCACGAGTGCTGCCATGTCGTCGCGAGTTCGATTTTACCTTGCTCTTCGAGCAGGGGATTCTAACTTTGGCTCCAGATCTTTTATTTCTTGCTTTATGCCTTTTTCGGTGGTGCCATATGTGCGGAGGGCCTGAAAAAGTACACCTTGGTGCTGCTGGCACTTGGAAAATGGTAAGTGCTCCTTTTGCTTTCCTGTCCCTGAAATTAAGTTTGAAAGCTAATGTAATCTTGAAATGCCACGCAGGTGCTCTCCAGCCTACTGCTAGTACTGAATATTGTTCTCCTCGTTTTCTGGTGTTTGCCGCACTCTCCAAGAACAAGGATCTCGGTTCCGTCCGCTGCGATCGCGGTGACCAGCACCCTGGCGTTGCTACTGCTATCATTCTATGAGCATACACGATCACTGAGGCCTTCGAGCTTGATTTGCATGTATTTGCTGGGCAGCGTAATATTTGAAATTGCGCAAGTCCGGACTCTGTGGCTGTTGCATCTTACAAGCTACCCGATCGCAGCGACAGCCACGAGTGCACTCACAACCCGATTTTTGTTGCTTCTGCTGGAGACGTATGAAAAGAGAAAACATTTTATCCCACAATACGATCGTATCTCACCAGAAAGTTCAACCGGGATCTTCAGTCACAGTACCTATTGGTGGCTCAATCGGTTCTTTATTGGTGGCTTCCGAGGCAACCTATCCCTCGATGATCTATATCCCCTGGACGAAGAACTCTCTTTTAAGTCTATTGCCTCCGGCCATCATCAGGGATGGAAGAACAACGAAGGTGAATTTTCATATGATATAGGATGGATAATGTTGATACTAATTATGAATTCCAGAAAAATGCACGCGACGGCTCGCACTGCTCTGTAAAGTCATCTACGATTTGAAGTGGACAGTGGCAGCGGCAGTCGTTCCTCGCCTTTGTTTAGTTGGGTTCAAATTCGCTCAGCCCTATCTCATTAACGACCTTATTGGCTACGTTTCCAAGAATGGCTCCAGTGAGTTATCTGGGGTCAAATATGGAATCGTCGGCGCGACGGTGTTAGTTTATGTGGGGATAGCAGTGAGTAAATCATATGTCTTTTGCTAGCTTGATGACTCGCATCCGCTAATGACCTTCACCCCAAACCTTTAGGTAAGCACTGCTCTCTACAAGCGTCAAGTTGTCCGCATGCTCACTATGACTCGCGGGTCGTTAGTTACAATGATATATGCAAAGACACTACGCCAAGCTGCGGACCCCCGTCAAGAGGCTAGCTCGACCACGTTGATGAGCACCGATATTGATCGAATTGCCACCGGGCTATTAGACTCCCATGAGCTCTGGGCATCCCCAATAGAGATTGTTATTGCGCTGGTGCTTTTGGGCAGATCTATTGGATACCCCTCGGTAGCTGCTCTGGGTGTTGCTCTAGGTGTGTGCTTTTTGAACGCGGCAATGGAAATATATGTGGAAAAAAGGAACTAATGAAACTACAGTAAGCGTTCTAGGATGCTCCTATCTCGCCCCCAAAGCGCGAGAAATGCAAAAAACCTGGGTACATGCTGTTCAAGAGAGAGTTAATTTTACTTCGGTGGTTCTGAAGGAAATGCGCCAAATCAAGATGTTTGGTGTTGAGACGGACGTGGCTTCTAAAACACACAGCCTTCGCCAATTGGAACTACATCAATCTAAGCCCTTCCGGTCAATGGTTGTTGCTGTCAATGTTCTGGGCGCAATATCGACTGCCATCGCCCCCGCTCTAACAATAGCCGTGTACGCCGCTACACAGCTGAACCTCGGGCTAGAGACACCCAACACTGATGTTACCTTCACATCTTTGTCCTTGATTTCTCTGTTGACAGAGCCCGTGGTACTGTTATCTGCCTCTTTGACTAGATTCACATCCGCTATTGGCTGTTTTGATCGGATTCAAGAATTTATTTGCAAGGAAAACCAAGTGGACGAAGATCCATCCGTTGATAAATATCTGGTACTCGATAGCGCGTCAGGGATCGAACTTCAATCAGCATCGACTCAGCCCGAGGCTCTTGTCTGCATGACTGATTGCTGCTTTAGCTTGGGCTTAGTTCACCCAGCAATACTCCGTGGGCTAACGCTGAAGATACAACGCGCTTCGTTTTCAGCCGTGACTGGCCCTATTGGCTCTGGTAAGTCATTCTTGCTCAAAGCAATGCTGCGTGAGATGCACCGCACAAAAGGAAGTTTTTCTGTCAGTTCAGTGAAGACTGCGTATTGCCAGCAATCTCCATGGATATTCAATGGCACACTAAGAGCAAACATTATCGGAGAATCGCCTCTTGACGAAAGGTGGCTCAAAGAAGTGGTGTATGTGTGCAACCTGGACGTTGAAAGCACTATCCTTTCTCTTGGTCTCGACACAGTAGCTGGGAGCTCGGGAGCCCAGCTTAGTGGAGGACAGAAGCAGCGAGTAGTAAGTATACCCGTGACCTCATTCCGTCCCTGATGTTAACCTACGTGACTTAGGCTTTGGCCAGAGCAGTCTACGTAAGGCCGTCTTTGCTGGTTTTAGATGACATCTTCGGCGCTTTGGACGCAGTGACATCGAGGTCAATTTTTGAGCGACTGCTTGGTCGTACTGGACTGGCCAGGAGGCTGGACATCGCAACCATTCTCGTGACAACAGCTGGTTAGTCTAACTTTACCCCCTCAAATGTTTACGATTTTGACCATTCCCCTTATTTCACTAGTGAAACATCTGAAAGAAGCCGATAATTTGATTGTTCTTTCAAAAGATGGCCACATGGAAGGCCAAGGGTCTTTCGAGGAACTGGCGAAGAAGAATCAGTACATACAGAGCCTTTCATGTTCCGCAGGTCCCGAAGACAGGGAGGCCGAAGAAGAGAGCAAACAAAGTGACCCCCAGCTAGGGCGAACACAGGAAGCGAAGAAAGAAACCGGAAAAACACCCAAAAGAGAGACAGTTTCCAATATCTCTCGAGGCGATGGGGACATCTCGCTCTACACCTACTACATCAATTCGTTTGGTTGGTGGGTATTTGGGGTAGCGCTGCTTGAGTATCAGACTGAATTTGTTGCTGATGAGCTTTTAGATCACCTTGGCCTAGCCTGGCCCAGATAGATACAGGCAGTTTGATCAATAGGTAAACCCTATATTTGAGATATCTCAAACGTTTAGATCTCAATGGATATACTAACTTGAAAACTTTGAACATCTCCAGATTTAGCCAAGACATGTCTCTTCTCGACATGCAGCTTCCAGTTGCCTTCGCCATAACAATTCAGGGTGCGAAATCTCCTTTTCTCCAAGTTTAAAAGATGATTAAATGCTGACTACCAAATAGCCTTCTTGACTTGTATTGCACAAGGGGCCTTAATCGCCACTGGATCAGGCTACATGGCTGTCGCAATTCCCTTCTGCATCCTTGCAGTATGGATAATCCAGGCTTTCTACTTGCGTACCTCGCGACAGATCCGACTCCTCGATCTGGAAGCAAAGGCTCCTCTTTACGCCCATTTTCTAGAGACAACAGAGGGACTCACTACTGTGCGTGCATTTCATTGGCAACGTCAATTTGCAGATCGAAATATAGACCTTCTCGACACGTCTCAGAAACCATTTTACACCATGTATTCCATTCAGCAGTGGTTGCATGTTGTTTTGGATCTACTTGTTGCGGGCCTTGCCACCTTTCTGGTTACATTAGCTGTTTTTGTGACAAAGCAAAGTACTTCTGGGGCCGTCGGCGTTGCTCTTGTGAACTTGCTTACATTCAACTCAACGTTGACATTCTTGATCATCAACTGGACACAGCTTGAGACTTCTCTGGGCGCAATTGCAAGAGTCAAACAATTTGTGAACGACCCACAGCTACAGCCTATCCCTAGAAGAGAGGTAGCTTGTCCGGAGGGTTGGCCTTCGGAAGGTCGAATGGAATTTCGAAGTGTTTCTGCATCATATGGGTAAGTGTCTCCTTGAGCATCAAGCTTCAAAGCAAATTGGAATGAATTAAAGGACTAGGAACATCCTTAGGAAGCATGGTTCCGCTCTGGTTGTGCGGGACATCTCATTTACACTGCAGGGCGGGCAGAAACTCGGTATTTGTGGGCGAACCGGAAGGTAAGAATAAGGCAAGTCTTGTTAATGACATGAAAACTAAAATTTTCAATAGTGGGAAGAGTTCTTTACTTGCTTGCATTCTCTCTTTGGTGACAATCACATCTGGTCAAATATACATCGATGACATTGACATCTCAACCATTCCCAAAGAAAAGCTCCATTCTGCATTGGTCCCAATCTCCCAAAGCCCCCTACTTCTTCCCGGTTCTGTCCGCGAAAATATTTCCCTAGGGATATCATCCGCGCTCGATGATTCAGAGATGATCTCTGCCCTGGAGGGAGTCGGGCTTTGGAATCAGATTTACGAACATGGTGGCCTAAGCGCGGACATCAATTCAATTCATCTGTCCGATGGCCAAAAGCAGATCTTCTGCATTGCCCGTGCTATCTTATCACCGGGTAAAATTATCATGATGGATGAGCCTACTGGCGGGTTTGATGAACACACCGAGAAATTGGCCACGGAACTTCTTCGTGAGCGGCTGAAAGGACGGACTATCATCTCAATTGCCCATCAAATCAATACTTTGATGGACTCGAATTTGGTCATGGTCATGAGCGATGGCATAATTTCTGAGATGGGAGCGCCGCAAAAACTCCTGGATGAGAGGGGTATGTTCTGGGAGCTGTTCCGGCCAAAGACAAGTTGAAGGGGGATTTAATTTTAATTCAGAAACAGGCAACTTCTTTATATTGGTACTATTAGCCAAGCAATAATATGAATTTATCCAATGAAAATTACAAGAATAGTCGGCCGCTTATACGGTCCTTTTGGTAGTCTTTTCAGCATAGGTATTATACTGGTACCAGGCATACACAAGTGCATACAGCTTGTCATCGATGATTTTATGGATACTTTCACGGTAGAACTGTATAACTTCCACCTTTTCCTCTCTACTTAGGGCTGTCTATCTATATCTCCCGGATAAAAAGGGCGTGAGAGGCTAAAATCGAGTGGACTAATTCCCCTTATATATTTTTTTAAAATACTAAGCCCGCCTGGCACAATTGGTTAGTGCGTAAGACTTCTAATCTTAATGTTCCCGGTGACCGGGGTTGGGCTTTTTTTTTGTCAGGCATTCTCCACTCATCATGGTATCCTTGGCCGTATTCAATCCAGGAAACGGATCAAGTTATGGAACCTCATGACCCCATTGGCCGAGGATAACGGCTTTATGAATGGAAAAGATCGAACCCCTAGCTTCCAGTACGCGATGTATCTGATGGACAATCCAAAGCGAAATTTAATCCGTTGTCCACCTGTTCCGTGTGAAATTCGGTCTAGTTGGGACTGGAAGCACCCTGCTTAGCGAAGGTATTCGATTCGTTATCAGTTTACTAGGCCTACAGAAAGAGTGCCTCAGTCCATATTCTATTGAGACTATTAACCTCGTTGGAACCCTCCTTCTCCATTAAAGAGACCCATAGTATGCTCCACACCGGGCCGTCCCGCAAACCATATATTATGGGTCCCCTCTAGCAAATACATATCGTCTTGACCCGGAACATGAATGAATAGTTACAGCTCTATTCTAAATGCCTCTTTAATCGGCCCCAGTCTATTCCTATCCTTGAAATATTAACCTGATGACTTTATAGGGGCATGATTCTCTGCTAAAGTAAACAACTTCACGAGCGGCACAGACGGAAGGCAGCAAGGTTTAATAAACAAAGCAGAGCAGGTATTGCGGTTTACTACTGACTAAGTATATTTACTGTCATGAAACAAAGCTAGAGGGAGCACACAATTTTATATACTATCAAGTGTGTTTACTGTCTATGACAGGGAGTCAAAAACTGCAGGACTCCTTTTCACCCAGAAACTGCGCTTTTGATACGGCTTCTGACTTTCAAATCAAATGTGGTACACGACTGCCATAGACTTTCCATCGCCTTGACTGGTTGACTCTTCCTGAATGTGGCACAGGAAAGCCTGTGGACCTGGTGACACCTTTCAACTGACGCTCAGGAAGTATCATTCTTCCACGTTCTGCGGCCTTCAATTTACCGAGTCCGAGGAATTCAAGCGAATCTGAGGTTAGACTGGTGGTGATAGGGGAGTATATGTGGCTGAGGCGTCATTGAAGCAGCCGCACAACCGCTTCATGTCCTTTGATAGCGGCAGTTTCTAGCGGCGTCACGCCCTGTCTATTAAGTGCGTGTTTATCAGCACCCTTCGGAAGTAGTAGCTGGGTAACCGCCTCATTCCCACCAAAGGCGGCTCAGTGTAGCGGCGTCATGCCATTTCTATCAAGGGCGACTTTATCAGCATCTTTCAGAAGTAGTAGCTGTGCAACCGCATCATCCCCAGTAGCACCGGCCCAATGTAGCGGGATCATGCCGTTCTCATCTTTAGCCTCCGTAGCAGCGCGCTTCTGAAGTAGCAGCCGCGCAAGCGTCTTATGCCCACACTTGACGGCAAGATGGAGCGGTGTCTCGCCCACAAGGGATTTGGCGTGCTTATCAGCGCCGTCCTGAAGTAACAGTCATGTGAACGCTGCATGCTCGTAGTTAGCGGCAAAGTGTAGCGGTTTCCATGTAATCTGGGCATTTCCCCCATCGTCCTCCTCTTCAGCCTTCTCTAACAACGCGGCTTTGAGCCTATGCCTATGCTCGCCACTATTCTTGAGCATTGACTAGATTGCAGTTCCAACCTCCTTCTCGTTCGAGAACTGCTGTAGTATCCCATTTTTATCCTCATCGGTAAAGTAAAAGTCACGGCGAGTGTCAGATAATATCTCGACAATTCCCCGCCCGTCGTTTATCGCCTTACAGTGCAGCGATGTCTGAAAGTGTTGATAGCGCCGCCTAGGTGGCTTCCTCAGGCTCTGCAGCCTCGCTACCCTATCTACCCTAGATTTTGATCCCACCCACTGGATGGATCTGACCATATATACCAATTTGGCCTCGGCCTATCGATGGATCACCACGCAAGAGTGATCTCCTCTCTCTCTCGCCCACATCTAGCGGCATCAAGTCCTCATTTGCAGACACAGTGTCAGTACCCTTGCTGTCTTTGACATCTAAGAGCTCAACTACCTCCGCATGCCCGTTCAATTCCGCAAATTGGCGTGGCGTCCAACCATAATTGTCTTCGGTCGGTTCGTTGTAGCCGTTGAGTAGAACATCGACGATATCTTTGTGCCCGCTCATCGCCCCGATATGTAGGGGTGTCCAACCGACCTGGTTGTCTGCTACGTCGACTGCCGCGCCGCGCCGGATCAAGAGTCTGACTAGTTCTAGGTCTCCACTACCGGCTGCGCAGTGCAGCGAAGTCCAACCAATATTGTCATTCTTAGCCTTAACATCAGCACCTTCGAGAAACTCCACCAGTGTTCTGTGCCCGCTGATAGCTGCAAAATGTAGAGGAGTCAGACCATTGAAGCCTTTCAAATTGACGTCGCATTTGGTGATGAGAAGTTCCACAACGGACGTAATTTCCGAGTCAAGACCTTTCATTGGTCGTACATCAATTTTGTATGGAGATCTGACTGCAGATATCAAGATATCAAGTGGTTAGCCTCATAAAAGCGGCTAAATTATTAAGATAGGAAAACCCTCAAGGAAGTTGGGCAGTTATAGGTATACTCGGTCCACGGAGAGGAACCGCTAAACAACCTCCAACCGGATATAAAGCAACCATTAGCCCTTTTTTACCTACTAGCAACCTATTTGCAACTATATCTACAAGAATAGACAGCTTATGTGGCCTTGCGATGTCTTTATATATACGTTCTTTGGGTTCTATAGGCAGAAAAAAAGCGGAAAAGGCATAGACTGTGCAGACAACTTTTTTATGTATAACCTGGGATGATGGTAAGAATCTCAGCCAGTTATTCAATTTTACCTGGGCGTTAATTTCTGTCAATCAGGTTCCTATGTTAGTAGTCAGTTGGTTACGTAGGTACTATATCCATTATGCAATGAAATTCATCTACAGAAGATGCGCCACAAAACTTATAACCCAATGTATAAGTCAAGAGAGCCCTGAAGGAATCGTAAATGGATATGAATCAATATTGAATAAACGCCTGCCTGTTCCATGCATCTTGGGTATCGACGAAATGAGGAAAGAATAATGGCCATAACACCAGAATGCAAATGAGTGCCCGCAAAGAAATGCCCAGGGTAAATCACAGATAGAGGTGGTACATGGCGGTGGGGCTGCTGACAGGTTTATTGCAACCTGCAACTTGGCACTTGGAGAATGGCTTTGTCTTGGAAGCTGTCTTCTTCGCCTTGGAGATGGACCGATTCGCAGCGCATTCGCCACAATAGACCTGACAACATCGTTAGTTTTCGCAATATATTTCAGCTCAAGATGGATAATACTCACATGGCCACATGGCTTTGCAATATGAATCTGTTGTTTCAGCCCTTCTCCGGTTCCCAACTCTTCCTGGCAGTTCGGGCAGACAGGCACCTCATCTTCTGCCAAAATCCGAGCGAAACCCTCCGGGGCCGGGCTGAGTCCTTTGTACGATGATCGGCGGGGGCGGGGCGCAGGCTGACCAGGTTGAGGATAGCCGGGTACTCCAAGCTGAATCGTTTCCGACATCAACGAATAGAGGTTACTGCCGGCACGCCGAAGCGCCATTTCCTCATCTCTGCTCGATCGCCCATGTCCGAATGCTCTCAGTGGCCGTATATGTGGAGGAAAGTGCATTGGAATACCATTGTTGTCCAAGAATCTTGGTTCTATTGGTCTTGGCCTGACGGAAGAAGACCCAACAAACTGAACATCCGCACTGTTCGGCGAGAAGTCTGCTCGATCAACCGATGGCTCGGCTTCCAGATCAATCACAGTACGGTGATCAGTCGCAGGGGTCGTGTGGTTCATCAGATCCCCGGGAAATCGGAAGCTTGGACGGTGCGGGTGTGGGGTATGGAGAGGACCGGGAAATTGGGTCGCGCTTCCTTGAGGAGGGGAGTCTGCATCGTCGGTCAAGTCGATCACGACACTATCTCCACGTGAAAGCATGAGTGGCCGGCGGTAGTCGAGTTCCGCTCGTCGTCTTCTGGGTGGCGTCCGGGTGGATCGAGATCTAGCGTGCTCGGGCCGAGGGGGGTGGAAATGCTCTTCCCAGGCGGCATCGCCGCTTCTATCATTCTCTGTGGTCATCTCACGATGTGTTCGCTGAGAGGAATAGGAATCTTATTAGCTGCGTTCTTGGTTATCTGATCAGGTGCCCCGCCCGTTTCACGACGGATGGAAGTTTACCTTGATTCTGGCGCCCATGAACTGGACGCCAGAGTTTTCACTCATTTCAGGACCTAAGCCTGGAGTCAAGGAGTGGTATTTTGCAGGAAAATATGAAATTGAAGGCCACCAGTAAGGTGAAAGGGCAAGATTGAAATCCATCTTTGGTTCTAGGCCGAGGCTAAAGGCGGTCGAGTTCTGCCAGAAGTATAGGGCGGTGTATACTAATTAGTAAAGTTTGCCCCATTGCCCAGGCGGTTGAGAAGCATTTCAAGTTGGCGATTCCAAGTTGGCGAGAGTGGCTCTAACAACAGATATTTAACTTATTTCTGTAGATATTTGTCGCTATTCCTTATAGTCATTTCACACGTTTCATAAGAGGATTTGAGTCAATTAAAAATAATGAATTCACAATGGTTTTTCATTCATGACCACAACATAAGTTTACATGTGAATATCCATGGATTGTCTGTGAATATCGTCGCATTAAGAGCTGCAGTTTTCAGAACAAACACCATTGAAAGTCCAGAGAATAGCATGCTCTAATATTACAGTATTTTCCTGGTGATCATGACTGTGCCGCTAGCACTGTGACCGCACCTGCCTCATTCAATGCCACAATACTCTGAGCAGCTGATCCCCAAGCAACCGAAATAGCAGGGACGGCGCTCCGCAGAGGCTCGGACCACGCCTTGGATGCCTTTGAGTATTGCTGGACAGTCACTCCACTGGGCCCACCAGTCAAGAGGAATTGGCCAGTGTAGTCCCAGAAGATGGACTCAACCTGGCTTCCTGTGTCCAGTACCTTGGTTTCCTTGGAGCTGCGAAGATCCCAGATCGATACAGTGGTGGACTGCGCGGCCACCGCAGCCAGATAAGTACCGTTCTCGGAGAAGAACAGGCACTTGACTGGGCCAGACATCGCATAGTCGGCAGCAGCAGCGCCCGTCTTGACATCAAAGATCTTGACTTTTCCATCTGCGCCACCGGCCGCAATCAAGTGACCATCGGGGTGGAAGTTAACAGACAGTAGAGCTGCATAAGAGCGATTAGCATCGGGCTTGGGTACATCATAGGGTGACCTCTTACCTGCATCGCAGAAAATCTGGGAAACCACAGTGTTTGTGGCGAGATCGTAAAGCACGTAACTCTTATCGACACCAACAGAAGCAGCAATATCACCAGTAGCGTGAACTGTGACAGCTGTCACCTCACCAGCATGGGAGGCGAAGTTTGCAACTTCAGCGCCATTCTCAAATACCTTGACTGAGCCAGTTGACGAGCCAATAACGGCCTTGTCTCCTGCCCATGTCGCACCGGTGACTGCGCCATCTGTCTTGAGGGTCTGTACGACACTCTTCTGGGAGAGCGAGTAGACACCAACCACGCCGTCAACACCACCAACGAGAGCCAAGTCACCAGTCGAGTTGATAGACAAAGCGCGGCCACCGGGGTAGAGAGGTTCGGAGGTCTCAGTTGGTTTAAATGTGGAAATAGTCTCACTCGAGGCCCATCCTTCTGGGACTGTGCGCTTACGCCGGGTCTTAGATAGCCTGTTTGATGGTTAGCCGTCAATCCAAAGATGCAATGTAGGAAACACCAATTCCACGTACGCTGCCTGTGTGTTCTCAATCCGTTCCAAAACTGCCTGGGGCAAGCCCGTAGAGTCCACCTGCATAGCCTCGCCAGTGGCACCGACGGAAACGTTCGAGAGTGCGTCACGAGCCTCATCCCTCTCCTTTGTCAGGCGTGCGATCACTCGCACCGCAGCATCGTGCTGGTAGAGCGCCGCACTTAGTTCGCGCCGTGTCTGTGCCAAATTTTGCTGCAAGGTGAAGGTTTCCAGAGCCAATGCATCCCATTCTTCCTGGAAAACGCCGAGAAGAGACGGGATGGATGTGAGGGTAGGGGGTCGGGGTCGGACAATGCGTTGCGACTTGAGATCGATAAGATCGTCGGTGGTAAGCTCCTCGCCGTTCACGGGATCTTTGCCATGCTCGGCAATGTATGCCTCAATGAGGCGCTTTTCAAATACGCTGCCTGTTTAATTATGAGATTGATGTCGCGCGCGCAAGGTGATTTCGAGGACTTACCGCTCTTGGTAGAGACGACGGGCACTTGAGGTGCTTCTCCGGAGACTATGGGAAAAGGCTAGTTAGAAAACCTGTTTCAAAGAAGAGCACAAAATTGCGATTCGCAGGAGGCTACTCACTAGCACAAAGCATAGTTAATTGAGATTAGTTGATGAGAGTTGATGGAGAGGACTTGACGCGGAGCGGCTCCTTGGACTTTTCGATGTGTCCTAATGCGGTTTAGCGTCTTGAGCTGGAAGGCGGTGTGATAGGGCGGAGTATTGCGACCAGCAGTGACGTAAGTCCATTAAATATTGCCAGCAGAAAATATATCGCCTTTTCGAATTTTATATATGAGGGCAGGAAAGGCGGTAGATAGGGCGGTGAAAACAATAAGCCAATGAGACTCGGTAAATGATTGGTCGCAATACCCCACCGTACTGACCATGCAGCTATCAACTTTGGAAGTTCTCCAACTCTTTGCACATGGAAATAACCTGTCTATTTTGATTGAACGAAATGACTTTTTCTCGATGATCTACATATGTACAATATAGACGAAGGGCAGTACAAGTACAAAGCTTCACTTGAAAGCTAGCAAGCAAATACAGCATTCCCATCATGGCTAAAAACCCCAAGTTTGAATATGGTATGTCGCTTCACACCTTTGTAACCTGTCATATGTCATTCTGATATCTTATACAGATGCAAAACAGCCTGCATTTCTCCAGAAGCTCCGGGGCCAGTATGGAGACAACAGCGGTCGCTTAGAGCGCCCTGCCTTACGACCGACCAGACTCAAGGTCAAAGACGATGACGACGATGACGAGCCTACCTACCTCGACGAAGAAAGTAACGAAGTGATTTCCAAGGAGGAATACAAGGCATTGGTTGGTGAAAGCGGCCCAAAAGAACAAGGCGAGGCCAGCAACTCAAAGGACAACTCCACCGATCAAGACAAATCCCAAACAGATCTTCCCACTGGCAAACAGAACAATCTCACTGAGGTTGGAGGCCAGAGGAAACGAAAACAGGCCAAAGTGGTGGGTGAGGACAATGCAGAAGCCGAAGAAGTCCAGCCCAAGGCGACTACGAAGAAATCTAAGAAGCCCAAGAAGATCAAACTCTCCTTCGACGAGGAATGAGAGTCTAGCAAGGCTGAGAAGTAGAGTATTGCCCAGCTTCCAAGTTGTGGTGCTTGACTCAGCAAAATACCATGAGGACTCATAATGAGTCAATAGAACCGGGATTACACAACGGGGATTGTATAGCATCATAGGATTAGAAACTGTTCAAGTTGAATATCAATCATATATAGGAATATATAGGTACTGATGCCAGTACTCGGTCTGTATAAATCCAATCAGCTCAAGAATCGGATTAAAATAATAAATTGAAGTGCTGTTGAAGGTCTCGGCCAAGGTCGCATCTTTATCAGCAACTTTTTTGCAACTTTTTTTTCCCTTGGATCCAGTCGCCTTTCTTTTTACAACCTGCTCTTGGTCTCATTATCAGCCAAGATGCCTGTGGTTAACGTCGACCAGCTGGTCCGCTTACAGCGGAAGCCCGAGGACATAAGAAATGTGCGTGTGCCCCTCCATCCCACTCTAATGTCTGATGTCAGGGCTTTATACTAATCTCAGCCACCAGATCTGCATTTTGGCCCACGTTGTAAGTGAAAGAAATTCACATTAAATTTTTTTTTTATGTTTGAAATCCTCATCTTTTCTTTTGGATTTTTAGGATCATGGCAAGACATCTTTGACAGATAGTCTTATTGCCACAAATGGCATCATTTCACCCAAGCTGGCCGGTAAGATCCGCTACCTGGACTCTCGTCCAGATGAGCAGCTTCGAGGTATCACGATGGAGTCCTCAGCTATCTCACTGTTCTTCTCGATGCTTCGCCGTCCAAGCCCGGACGCAGCGCCAGTGCCCAAGGAGTATCTGATCAACCTAATCGATTCGCCTGGTCATATCGATTTCAGCAGCGAGGTCTCGACCGCATCTCGTCTTTGTGATGGTGCAGTTGTGCTCGTTGACGCAGTCGAAGGTGTCTGCAGCCAGACAGTGACAGTCCTGCGCCAGACTTGGGTTGAGCAGTTGAAGCCGATCTTGGTTATTAACAAGATGGACCGCTTGGTAACAGAGCTGAAGATGAGCCCTGCCGAGGCTTTCTCGCATCTTAGTCGACTATTGGAACAGGTCAATGCTGTCATCGGTAGTTTCTACCAGGGTGAACGCATGGAAGAAGATTTGCAGTGGCGTGAGCGTATGGAAGACCGTGTCAACGCTGCTGCTGCTCGGGACCAAGGCAACAAAAAGTCGTCGGCAGACGATGAATCTGCAGCAAGCATCACCGAGGGAACTGAATTTGAGGAGCGCGACGACGAGGATCTTTACTTTGCACCAGAGAAAAATAACGTCATCTTCTGCAGTGCTGTCGATGGCTGGGCTTTCACAATCCGACAATTCGCCGCCATTTACGAGAAGAAACTTGGAATCAAGCGAACAGTTTTGGAGAAGGTGCTCTGGGGTGATTATTATCTAGACCCCAAAACTAAACGTGTCTTGGGCGTGAAGCATCTGAAGGGACGTGCTTTGAAGCCTATGTTCGTTCAATTGGTCTTGGATAGTATTTGGGCAGCTTATCAAGCCACCACAGGTGGTGACAAGGGCAAAGGGTAAGTTGAAAATGAACCCAACTATCGTGTCAACGCTGATATTGACCTTTACTAGTGACCCAGTGTTGTTAGAGAAGATCACCAAATCGCTCAACATCAACATCCCCGTATATATCTTGCGCGGTCGTGATCCTAAGAACATTATGAACACACTGTTCTCTCAATGGCTGCCGCTATCTACTGCTTTGTTGGTTTCCGTCATTGAATATCTCCCCAGTCCCCCCGTTGCGCAAGCCACCCGACTACCAGAAATGATCAAAACATCCCCTGGCGCTGCTTTTATTGGCGATGATATCAAGACTGCTATGGTGGAATTCAAGACAGGGCCCGAAGAGCCTGTCGTGGCATATGTCAGCAAGATGGTTGCCATCCCGGAGAGCGAGCTTTTGTCTAACAAGAGGCGTAGCGAAGGTGCTATGACTTCGGGTGAAGCCATGGAACTCGCGCGCCGCAAGCGAGAGGAGATTGCGAAGATGCAGGCGGAAGCCCGCAGTAATGGACAAGAAGACGACTTTGAGCGTATGACATCAATTTTCGAAACCACCTCATTGATCACCGAGACGACCGATGAGCCAGAAGAGCCAATGGAGAAGGACGATCCTGATCATCTTATTGGTTTCGCCCGACTTTACTCCGGAACCCTCACGGTTGGTGATGAGATCTATGTCCTTCCGCCCAAGTTCTCCCCGGCCCACCCGCACGCCAGCCCCGAGCCAAAGAAGGTCAAAGTCACAGATCTGTACCTGATGATGGGCAGAGCTCTCGAACCCCTCAAGTCCGTACCAGCCGGTGTGGTATTCGGAATTGGAGGTCTTGCAGGCCACGTGTTGAAGACAGGCACCCTGTGCAGCCGACTCGAGGGAAGTATCAACTTGGCTGGTGTGTCGCTGAGCATGCCGCCCATTGTCCGAGTCGCGCTGGAACCAGTCAACCCAGCAGACCTGAGCAAAATGGTCACCGGCTTGCGCTTGCTTGAACAGAGTGATCCTTGTGCGCAATACGAAGTGCTCCCTAGTGGTGAACACGTTATCCTCACAGCAGGTGAACTGCACTTGGAGCGTTGCGTGACGGATCTGCGGGAGCGATTCGCCCGTTGCGAAATCCAGACCGGCGAGGCTATCGTTCCTTACCGTGAAACCATTGTTCACGGCCCCGAGATGGCTGTGCCCAAGAACCCTGAATTAGGACGTGGAGCCGTTTTGACGGTGTCTGCTTCCAAGCAAATGACCCTTCGTCTGCGCGTGGTTCCGATGCCAGAGGCCGTGACGGAATTCTTGACTAAACAAGTCGGAACTATCAAGCAGCTCCAATTGGAGAAGCGCTCAGAGGCTGAAGGCAAAACAGAGACCGAGAACGGAGCTGAAGCTGCCGCCGTTGACGGTACGGGCGAGGCACCTGAAGGCAACATTCTTTCCAAACAGGAGTTCCGCGAAGGACTAGATAAGTTGTTCAACGACGAGGTCAAGGAAGACAAGGAATTATGGAAGAACGTCGTCGACCGAATCACCGCTTTCGGGCCCCGACGAGTCGGACCCAACATTTTGGTTGATGCAACTGCAGTCAACACGTGCGAGAAATTGTGAGTATTGTAGTCAAAGAGGCAGTTTGTATATCGTTCGTATCTAACATCTTCTAGCTTGGTCGATGACACCAAGAAACAGATCGACGGTGATAACCATCAAGCACTACTCGTGCGCGATTTCAACGACAAGATCGCGTATGCCTTCCAGCTCGCAACAGGCCAAGGCCCCTTGTGCCAGGAGCCTATGCAAGGCGTGGCTGTGTTCCTGGAAGACCTATCTGTGCAGTCTAGCGCAGGTGACGAGCTTGACATGGGCCGGTTGACAGGCGAGTCAATCAGACTCGTCCGTGAAGGTATCTCAGCCGGTTTCCTGGATTGGAGTCCTCGCATCATGCTCGCAATGTACAGTTGCGAGATCCAAGCAACCAGTAAGTATTTGGTTCTTGACACTTCCTTTCCCTTTCCATTCATGTTACCCAATATACCCCCGCGCCATCACATAGACTATACCCGAAAAACACCACAACTAACACACCACCTTCACTCCAAAAGCCGAAGTCCTAGGCAAGGTCTACGCAGTAGTCACCCGCCGCCGAGGCCGCATCCAATCCGAAATAATGAAAGAAGGCACGCCATTCTTCACTATCCTAGCGCTCCTCCCCGTAGCCGAGTCCTTCGGATTCGCCGAGGAGATCCGCAAGCGGACGTCCGGCGCCGCGCAACCTCAACTGATCTTCGCGGGCTTCGAGGCTCTCGACGAGGATCCGTTCTGGGTTCCTGCTACAGAGGAAGAACTTGAGGACCTGGGTGAGCTTGCGGATAAGCAGAATGTTGCTAAGCGGTATATGGATGCTGTTCGCAGTCGAAAGGGTCTGGTTGTTCAGGGACGGAAGTTGATTGATGCAGAGAAGCAGAAGACTTTGAAGAAATAAGGTCGATGTACTATTTATTCTGATAGAGTTCAAAATGGGAGATTAATTTGCATTTCATTTGTTTTTGTATGTTTGTTTGTTTTTGTATGATTCAGATAGGATAGGATATATGAATTAGGAATGTCACTCCGAAAACACCTGTCAAGTCGCACTGAGTAGACTTGGACATGACGGATGAATAAATGGAGGTTCACAGAAGATGAGAGTCCTCCGTGTGTTCTTCAAAAGAAAAACTTCAATCTTCCTCACTTGACAAACACAGTCCGACATGGCATAGGTCTCGACCGTGTATACTAAGGAGGGTTACCCAGTAGGGTCTACGAGGAGTGGCATTGATGCCTCTACCTGGAAAGACGAGCGAAGAGGAAAGCGACCACAGATGGCAGACTGTAGTCAAGCATCGAAGGAAAGGGAAAAGCGGAAATGACATAGATTTTTCAATCATGTCTCCGTTGGGTATCTTATTCTGAAATCGTTATCAATGTCAATAACACATGTCCAGTAGTACACATTGGCGTGGGTGGATCGAGTCAAAGGCGAAGCGGTTCCCAGCTTCGTGAAACATGAAAGTCGTCATGCTCAAGCGGGATGCTGCTGTTTGAAAGCATGTAACAAGTGTGGGGGCTTGGAAGGCATTCCTCGCAGTGAGGGTTGGGGAGTGTAGTTGTGTTGACACCCATGGATCCCGGAGGTAGAAAGACAATGCTCTCAGGGGATAAGCTAGACCTTCCACGGACATATGAGTGGACGGTGGGAGAGTCTGCTTGGTTGTTGTTGGTTGAACCACTATGTGGCCAGTTAACAGTAGAGGTGAAGGGCATGAAGCCATTGGCTATTCAAAGTGAAAACCAAAAGCCACGCGAGAGGGACTGAGTTCGAACAATTGGATGTTCTCAGAACGGTCTGGCGACCTTCCTCTGCTCGCTAGTTCCACTGACAGGATCTCTCATTTCCTTCCAGCTAACGGGGAACATCATGTTGCCGGCCTCACTGCGAGCCATGACAACACCGAGATCATTGCGTGCGGTAGTGATGTAGTAAAAGCTCTGATCGCCAAGCGAGATAACAGAGCCGCGAACGATATCACCGACACGGAACATTTCATCCATAACGACACGGTCTTTCTCAACGGCACGCACGTCTTCCTTGCGGATAAGTGCCTGGAAACGCAGTTCGTCGGTGCCGCTGTGGTTCTCTGGGTTGGCGGCAGATGTGAGGATGGAGGCGACGTTGTCATTGTCTGAGGCTGGTTGTGATTGGTCTTGGGATTGTGTTGCTGATTCGTCTAGCACGACAAGGATGGAGACTGTGGCTTGTCGCTTCTGCACGCGGGTCACTCGGGCAAGAACGATGGAGTCTACTGCGGGGAGGGTGTTGTAGCGGGGCTTCGACATCATTGAGGATGCCGCGCCGGGAACGGCTGGGTTGGAGCCTGCTTGGTCTTTCGGAGATACCACTCGTGAGACTCTGAGGGTTGGTCTTGTTTGGGACTTTGGCTGTGCAGGGTCTGCAATCACGGGGCCGGCGATGGAAGCATAGATGAAGGATTGCTGAACATGTGTGCCGGGGCCTGCAGAATATGTGGATAAAGGACCAAGGCGTTGCCCAGGAATGGCAATAGGTGGTAGGGAAGCCATGTTATAAAATTGGTGGTGGGCCAATTTTGAGGTGGAAGAGTTCTAGAGTTTGCAGAGGCAGCGAGTTTTCTGGAGCTTTTTTTTAGGGAGCTATAATACGGCCCGGGTTTAAGTTATTCCGAACGCAGCTTGTATCCACAACTACTTCTTACAACAACTTCCAATAGTACTTCGAACTACATATTTCTATTACAATTTGTAGAAGAATCTGTCTGCAGGCAATTAATTATAGAGCCCATATCTAGCATGAATAAACATTGTATGCGTCGGAACAACAGAAACAGCGGCACCGGCCCAGAAATACCATGGACATGTAACAACAGAAGAGATAATAAGAAAAAAAAAAGTCCGTATCACTCCAAATGCCCGCTGACGAAAGTGAATAATTGGATTTAATGTCCATACAATACCCCTTGGCGGGGAAAGAGAGTCACACAGAAAAGGCTGACATGACACAGAAAGGACCGAAAGATAAAACGGTGGGATAATCAGACAAAACAGAAGGTTCAAGCTTCCACCAGGGTCTGCTTAGGACCAGCTCCAACCAGCTCAAGGCAGCGACGGGCGAGCGTAATGACTTCACCCTCGCCGTCATCCACATCTTCTTCATCCGACTCGATATTCTTGTCAGAGATAACCTTGACCAAGTGAACGATGTCTTCGGATCGTGAAATATATCCAATGAGCTTCTGGTCTTCGGACTCAAGCAGTTGGAGGAGGGTCCAGATGGCAATGTGCTGGAATGTTGGATCTCCGCTGGCAAGGAAGCGGTGAAGGTAGCCATGGATGCCACCATTGGCGTCTGCCCAGTCGCGAACGAACATCGAATAATCGCCAACTACATTTTGTTAGTAAATGACAACAGTATGCAAAAAGACAGGGAAAGGGGAAAGTAAAATACCTTTCGACGACAAATTGCCCAAAGCAGCCGCGCTGTTACCTTGCACCTCAATGCTTTCGGAGTTAGTCAGAGGAATCAAGACATCAAAGACTCCTAGGTTGAGAAGGTGCGGCTTCAGCTCTTCGCTGAGAGCCAGCACAGCGATTGCAGCAGTCATCTCGGATTGGACTGTAAGGGGAACACGGAGGACCAAGTCCTTGCACTTCTGTACTGCTCCGGCCTGCAAAACAAGTTCTTTGTTGCGATCGGAGCTAGCAGCAAGGTTTCGAAGCGTGGATATAGCGTGACATTGAATCTCTTCGTTGTCAGTCGACCCTAGGAGATCCACCAACGGCTTCAAGAAGCCCGCTTCGATAATCGGGGATTCGTTAAGAGGATGAATGGAAATATTGCGGATACAAGCGACGGCGGATAGGATGAGAGGAAGGTAGGAGGATTGTAGAAGTCGTAGTAGTGGAGAAAGACCCTTTGCCCGAACGATTTCAAGCTGGTATTTCTCATCAGAGGCGAGATTGCGCAGGGCGAGCGCCGCTTGGCATTGGACTTTCGGGGTGGAAGAATCCATAAGATGAACCAATGATTGGACGAGGCGCGACTCGGTTTGGGCAAGTCGCTTGCGATTCGTCGAGTCAACGGCGATATTGCTAAGAGCTGTTGTGCAGTAGTACTGAACGTCAACGTCGGGGGATGAGAGGAGATGCACGAGCACGGGAATGGCGCCGGCATTGACAAGTTGCTGTCGATTGTCATCTGATCTTGGTGTTAGAGAAAGACCGCTTTTCCAGATGAATCAATTGAGATCGCTTACCGGAATGGGTCATATTAAGCAGTGCGCCCGTCGCATTTCGCTGGACACGCATATCCTTCGACTTGGCCAGGCGAATGAGCGGACCTAGAGCACCAGAGCGAGCAATCTTGGCCTTATTCTCCTCATGCGTCGCGAGATTGGTGATACATCCAACCGCATTGCACTGTACCTCAACATTGGGCGACATCATCTGGCGAATCAGGGGAGCCAGCCCCCGAGGGTGACGATCAAGACCTTGTTCTCAGCTGCATCGAGTCAGCGACCGGGAAGCGGGAAAGGGGATGGGTGGTGGGAACCAACCATTTACGGCGAGATTGCCCAGCGCTGCACTGGCAGCTCGTTGGACTTCGATATCTGAGCTTTGAAGTAGGAAGAGGATAGGTTCGAGTGTATCGCGATCGACCTCGCGCACATCTGCAGATAAGACGAAAGGTCAGGTATTGCATCATTGTCATCCGAGCGGCGATACGCACCTCGTTCTGTGATCTCAGCAAAGGTCAAGCTAGCGCTTCTTTGCAAGTCGACATTTTCGGAGTAAACCAGGGTACTCAAAGCTCGCAGTGGCTCGCCGTGAAAGAAGTCGGTCTCCGCGCGCTGTAGATTGGAAGTTAGCGGTATGCACCGGGCAGGGCGGTACCCAGGGGAACCAAGTCGCAGAGTCTGGGGGAAGGAAAGATAGAGATGGAGTGATGAATTGTTCAGCACGTACGTTCTCCAAGTAGCCCAGAAGATCTGATACCGCTTCTCGCTCATTATCGGCCAGAGTGGTTTCGTAGATACCGTCTCGAGATCGAGCTCCGATGGGACCGAGACACGCAGTGATATGACACCATCGGTCTACTGCTGAAAAGCAAGACAGACAGGCATTCGCAATTCCACTCATTCTGGCTAGGCCCGCATCGGGCGCGGGTCCTGTGAAGTTCGGAGATAGAGGTGAAAGGCGAGGGTGAGATTAAGTCGAATAAACCCGAAGCTGAGGGAAACACAAAGAAAAGCCGCGTGATGGAAAAAAAAATAAAAAGTCACAAAAGTCACTGGAGGGAAGCCTCCTGATGCTTGAAGGAAGGAAGTTCCAGCTTAAGGGAGGGGGAGAGAGATCGAACTAGTCTCCTCAGGCAGAAACTTGAGATTAAATGGGCTATCTATTTCAATTGACATCTTAATATAATTCTTTTCTTTTAACATCATATATTTACTATCAAATTCTTAACTTCTTAACTATCTTCAATCCTAAAATAAAGATTCTCTTTTAAGCAGCTCCAACGCATACATCATCGGCTCCGGAGCTCTAAAGGCTGACCAATCCGGAATAGGGGATCAACTGCATCTACAATTATAATAGTACCTATAGTACCTAGGTATACTTATGTTGTACTTACGTTGTACAGCATATCTATCTTCTCTATAAGGAGAGATTTAAATTATTCTATTACATTGAAATCGGGTTCAACGTCTTTTATCTGCCGTCTACATCCCGTCTCAAATGCACTTTCCAGCCTCCTCCCAAGGGTCCGTGCAACATAAAGGCATCTTTGCCCAGGTGCGCTCGTGATTTTGTAAAGTGACGCAGATGATCACCAGATAGAGTCACATACGTTGTTAGTGTTGATTTTTGGGTATTTGCATATCACATGGAATGCTATTAGAATTAGGGATAAGCATATTCAGATTCAGAGTGCCCAGCTTTTCTTTTTATATTGCAATATAAATAGTTGGAGTACTCCATATTATCTAAAAGCATGGACCAACTATACTTTCTCAGGTGCTTTTTCTATGTTGTATGTTGTACATGAAGTACATGAAGTAAGGACGCTTAAATATGCCTCAGGCCATATAGGGCTGTGTCTACCGTATTGAGTTTTATATACTTTTATAGGAATACCATTTTCTTCAGATTTTGCCATGTTCATGAATTACTGTGCTTACTGTGCTACTCTATATTTTTATATACCTTTAAAGAGTATTCTATAATCTTCTACTCCGTACTCATCCCAATATATGCGGGGAAATAGGCCTGGGGTCCGAGGATGCCAAGACATGATGACTGTCAGGGCATTATAACCGATGGCAAGTGCCCGGCAAATACCAGAAAGGGTGAAAGAGAGAGAGAGAAAGAAAGAGTATATACAAAGGAAAAAAACACTTCCCCTTTCTCTCTCTTTTCTTTACTTGGCTTTGTTTCACTTCTTTCTTGAGTTTACTCCCCTTACCTTCTCTAATGTCTTGGTAATCTTTGAATCGCATCAGCCCATTTGCAGATCCCATCGACATTGCCCCTCGAATCTCTGGGCACTATTGATTTATTCTGCATATTGAATTCTTTCATGGTAAATCGAATCCATGTCTGCTTCAGTCACCGCCTCCACCTCCCTCCCCGACAACCCTCGCCCCAGTCGCCTGCGCCGCTTCAGCCAGCTACGAACCTACACTCAGAATCTGTCATCCTTGCCCGGGCAGTCGTATAGACACAGTTTGAGTAGTCGAATCCCTTGGCGATCCTCAACTTCGGGCTCCATCTCTCCGCCAGCGAACTCCACACCTCTCCCATGCCCTGAACCTGACCACCCACCCCTCTCTCGTCACACCTCTGCGCCCGCCCCGAGTTACGGCTTTGCCGAACTCAATAGTCAAGTATCATCCACCGAGTCCGCCGCTTCTACACCTTCCACCTCTACCCCATCCAACGACGTTACCCGGACGCCCAACTCTATGGCGCGCCTGAGGAGCTCTTCGGCCGTCCATCGTCCGCCACCTCGCACGTTAGAGCGTGTTACAAACTCTCAGGAGTCCACCCCGTCCCCTGAACCGGCCGTTCAAAATAATGTGATCGAGCCCACCAGCGCTCCTGCAGAGGGGGTGACCTCAAAATCGGAGACCAAGGCGACCATTCGCTTCTTCCCCTACCAAGACTCTCTCCAGAGTTCGAGGCCCTCGTTACCTTTCGTCCCAATCGCCCGAACCCTGCCATCAGAGAGCTGTGTTATTCGCGTCGGTCGATACTCGGAGCGTGATGGTGTACCCCCGCCTAACCCGACCGAACCATCAGATGCCCCCGTGGGGTTCAAGTCGAAAGTCGTTAGTCGGAAGCACTGCGAATTCTTATATGTGAATGGGCAGTGGCACATCAAGGATGTTGGCAGCTCTTCGGGGACTTTTTTGAACCACATGCGCTTGAGTCAACCAAACATGGTGTCACGTCTGTACTCCATCAAAGACGGCGATATCGTGCAGTTGGGTATCGACTTCAGAGGGGGTGAAGAAATGATCTTCCGATGCGTTCGGATTCGGATTGAATGTAATCGATCGTGGCAGCAGCAGCCTAACGAGTTCAAGTAGGATCTTACTTATCGTCCGAAGTGTCGTGTGATGCTAACAAATATTCCAGCAAAAATACGGAAAGTCTTATCAAAAACTTGGGCAAGGGTGAGACGTCTGATTATTCGGGTTGTCGTGAATGTTCAATCTGCCTTGGCTCTGTTTTGGTTCGTTCCTTCCTTTCTTGGCTTCCAATCCTACATCTACTAACTATAATAAAGCGGCCTTATCAGTGTTTGTTCATGGCAGCCTGTGCGCACGTTTGGCATTACAAATGCATTAGTCGTCTGCTCCATTCCCCCGATTATCCAATGTTCCAATGCCCCAACTGTCGGGCATTCACCGATCTCAGCGCCGAGGTCGATGACTCGAATGACTCGGAGGAAAAACGAGAGAAGGAACCAACCGAAGATAGGGCATCCAACGACTCTGGGGAGCAGCTTGAAACGGAAGGGCCTTCAGTCGTCGAAACAAGCAGCCTGGAAGGACCGCCCGATCAGCTCGGAGATCTTGCTGAAGAAAATTTGGTGAACAATGTTGAGAACCTGCATCTACAGGATGACCAGCAAACCGATGACACTCGAAGCACAGCCTCACCAGCCCCTAACTCAAGCACCGATAATCTGGCCCGCAGCGCCACTATCAACATTCCTGGGTGGCAACCGACGCAACCTCTCAGTGTGCCATCTGGTCGCCAATCACAGCTACGAACTGACACACCAGTGCGCTCAGAAACGTCTGACGACAACCCCTTGACTCCACGAAATGACTCGGGCCCTTTAGCCTTTGATGGCCGAGCAGGAATGCCCTAATACGTCACTTCGGGTCAAACTAATTTCTGGAAAGCGAGGGCATTGGGCATTTTAATACATATTTATCTTTATTCTTTTTGGCATCTACCCTTCTGTAGGGGGTTATCATCTGGGCATTCTACAATATCACCATTGCAAGGAACCATCTGTCTGCATTGGCTTCTTCGGGTGCACACTCCATATACACCGTTTGCATTGTTCCATAGCGCGTATCTCTTCTATCTAGTTTGATTCGTCATGGCGGCTCAGCGTTCTCCTGTCTCCTTTGTCCCCTTCCCCAAAATCTACTGATACCCATTCAAGATCTGGACTGTTTTGAATCTCGGCACATCTGACCAGGAACATCCTTTCGTTAGCCTTCAGATTGTTTTTAATCATTATTAGGTAATAACACGTTCGGCTTGACTCATCTACTCGTACAGCAATCTTTACATTGTCCTATGTACATACCTAAATAGCACCGGAGGCCTTGACCTTAGCATCGACCTCGTGGAATACAACGGGAACCATACTTGAGAAGGTCCAGAGCTAGCAAAGCCATCAGAATATATCCTATGTTCCTTATTGAAAAAAAAAAAATTGAAAAAAAAACTCACTCTGCTTTCTACAACTTTCCAGTGTTGACTGTCAAGCTCAGTCTTGGGACGATACACATCGAGTCGTTCTAGCCGGTTCTCGGCACCCCATATGTCTAAAAGCGAGAGGACAAAATGCTTGTTGGGGTAATTCAATCGCAAAACACCATGGTGGATCCTCTGCAGATAATGCTCGCTGATGAATTCTGTGATATCCATCTGACGCATGACGAAATAGGTGTTAGGTGTGCCGTAGAGGTTGAGGGGGATTCGATATAGATAGTGAAGAGCCTCTATGGTAATCTTTTTGTTGAGAAGAAGAATAGATGGTGTATATCGCTTCACATAAGGTCGAGGAATGGTGCAAAGAGGACCACCGCCCGGCGAGGACCAAGAGTCCGCCAGCTTTCGATAGCTTTTCACGTATTCATTTGGTTTTAGTAAATGTGTGTATATTATCAGGCGAATCTCGGCTGGTAGATCAAGTAAGGAGGTCATGGTAATATGCAGTAATCAAGTTGTGGAATGCTCACAGTACCCCTCTTTCTCTGGCCTGAACTTAGGGCCATATTGGCTGTGGCTGGAGTGAAAGCTTCACAATGTTACTTCTAGCACTATTCACAACTCGGAAAAGCCAGGGATTTAAACAGTGTTTCCGCTTTTGTTCGGTATGTGAAAAATTTAATCACTTTTGAAACAAACAGAAGGCTATATCAACTTTCACCGAGCCCTTTTACCCATAGTTCAACTAGCAGCTATCCCAGCTTGTAGGAAGACCGGTCTTTCAACTAGCCTTTCAGTTGAATCTTCACCCACTCATCAACAGTCGTAGGCTCCCTCCCAAGCAACCACCTCAAGACACTGGGATTTCCTTTCAATCCACGCCGATTATAAAACAAGATCAACCTCTCAGCCTCGTCCCTTGTAATATCAGGCCGTAAATCCCCATGTGAGGCCGGCCATCTCAAATCCGAATCCACATGATCCCCACTATACACCCCACTCTCCCCGGTATATAAAAGCTTAAGAACCTTGCTAACACCCTCTTCGAAAGTAGGAGTTGGAACCTTTATCTCCTTGCCAATATGTTTTCCAATTACCTTGATAACATCCGCATCAGATATCGGCAAGGTCGAGCACAGCGGATACTGAGCGAAATAGTGTGGTTCCTGCTCGTCCAAAACCCGAGCCGCGGCTTCAGCCAGATCTCTGAGCGCAATTAAACTATTGGCAACATTTGGATTATAAATGTTCCAAACATACTCGATAGATGGGTCCTCGGTTTTCGAGAGCGCAGCAGGCGGATACACATCCATGAAATTGGTCGGTTGGAGAATTGTGAAGTTTAGAGGACTTAGTAGTAGTCTTTCTTCGACGCGACTCTTGTGATCGTGTTGCATGAGGTTTCGATGCTGGGTACCGAGCACGCTGGAATAGACGAAGTGCTTGAAATTGGTATCTGGCCTTTGGCTCTCGGCAACGGCTGCGTCGATCATGTTGATCCCGATTTCTATTTCACGGGAGTGGAGCGAGGGGCCTACGTGGTAGACTGATGTTGCGTTGTTGAGGAGCTTGCGGCATTCTTCGATGGAGGTGGTGTCGCATGTTTGTACTTCGGCTTTTGGGTAGGTTGTTTGGAGACGAGAGGCGGATTCAGTGGTGTGGGCTGCTAGACGGAGTTTGAATCTGGAATTGTTGTATAAGAGAGGGATTAGATGGGAGCATTGTCTGCCACCTGGGCAAGTGATTACTATGATTTCTTGCATTTTGATACCAACTGGACTGGAGCGTTTGATTTGAAAGGGTTGTCATGCAGAAATAGAAGAGGGGTTGGGTACCAAGGTTTATATACATGCAGGTGGAGGTCTGTACGTCAGATTTGCCCCCTCATGCAGCTGCACGTTCATTGGGTGAGATCTAGAGTGTGCTACACATTGTACAGGAGAGATTTGAGCAACCATAATGAGCAATTTGGCATATTATTCTCCCTTAGCATATATTCGGCTAGACAACTAGCTGCAATGAATATGGCCAACTGGTGTATATACAGTCACGTGAGTAATAGCGCTAGGGATGCTAAGTGGGTCCGGAACCAAAGAGTCGCTGGACCCGCTTTCCATGTTGACGGCAACCCTGGCCCCGATCTCAATCTCCCCCCGGATCTGAGGGCTTGGTTGAATACTAAGAGCCGAATACTGCTCGGGATCATACCCTCATCTTGAACAAGATGAGGTTAAATTTCAGCGAGCCACCTACTCCGACCTTGAGTCGCCAAAACACTACGATACAAGGTCATCATCAACGGCGTGGCACCCATCCTCATCAGCTATCATCGCGGGCAAAGCCAAGAAGGTGAGCTAGCTGATCAGTATCTATTTTAGAATCACCCGCATGAGCTAATCCTATGCAGATGGCCACTTGTATTTCGCTTTATCAAAGGTGCAATCCATGGTGCCATATTAGTCCCAGTCTCTCTGCATGCTATATTCACAGCCTTGATTGTTTACTTGGACACATATGTGTTCGAGACTGTCGGTCTACCTAGCACCATCGTATGTATCCCCAACCAACCGGACGGGACAGTAACTAAACATAGCAAAAATAGATCCCATCCTTATCTATTGTCGTAGGTTTGATGCTTGTGTTCCGCAATCAAACATCCTACAATCGATTCTGGGACGGGCGCAATGGAATGAACACGCTTAACACCTGCGTGCGCAACCTCGTCCGCACGATTGCAACAAATAGCTACAGCTCAAAGCGGGGACCACCCACTGCCGCAGAGCGCGAGGATATCGAGCGTACTATTCGAATTCTCATGGCTATCCCATATGCCGTGAAAAATCATTTACGCGCTGAGTGGGGCGCTGCGTGGGTCTTTGGAAACTCCGTTGATGGAGATTTGAACATCCATCCATCTACTCTTTATAACCCTGAATATGCCAACCTGCTACCTGCAGGCCTTGAGGGTCATGAAGACGAGGGACTGGGTCTTCCTTTCCAGTTGACCTTTTTCGTTGATGGGTTTATTAAGCGTGGCGAGGAGCGTGGCTGGTATCCTGCACCTGGTGCTAGTCAAATGCAGGCTCAGTTGAATACATTGACAGATGCATATGGGAAGATGGAAACGATCAAGTTGACTCCGATCCCAGTGGCTCACTTGTAAGTTTCATAGCTCCAATGCGTGTGTGTTACTTTATATGTTTCGATCACTGATGTTAAACCAGGATTCACCAAAAACAAGTCCTCGCCCTGTTTGGCTGTGTTTTGCCATTTGCTATGGTCGATGAAATGGGATGGTGGGCCATCCCCATTGTCAGCCTTGTTATCTTCACACTCTATGGTATCGAGGGAATAGGCTCGCAATTGGAAGATCCCTTTGGCTACGACAGAAACGACATCAAGATGGATGCTATTGCCGGTGACTCAAAGACTGAGATCGATGTTGTTTTGTCTGAGTGGCGCACGCACTCGAAAGCCATGGAGACGTTGAGACAACAGCCACCTGGTGCAGTTCACGGTAATTTATGCTTAACGCCTGATCGAACTGAAGCTGGAAACGGCAGTGTGGACGGCAAGTACACGCCCCCAGACTTGTTCTTAAGGTCGAGGCCGACTACTGGTAGGTGAAAGTTTGGACATAGAATGTGTACCTGGTATATTGCTGTTGCGATTTTCTACATGTATAGCCTCAACTTAGCATTAGGAACATCAATGTATCTGTAAACTAGAAGGTAGCCCCCCTGGACCTTTTATGAACTGAATATACTTAAGATCAACGCAACCTGGCTCGAGTCTTGCTGGTTCCACTGTAGGCGCAGATACTGAGGTTGATTTGGTGGTATGTGACTCGCCATGGATTGAATTCTTATAAGCAGACAGCTTTGAAATCTATATCAGTCGGGTATCTAATGCAGTAATCAAGAATAGCTAAAGAGGTGTATTGAAGTCTCATAAAGGCGGCTCGAGTGCCAGAACGCCATCCAGTATTGAATCCGGCGTCACGTCAGCGAGAACATGAGATACCGCATGTAAATTACTTCCGTACTGCAGACTGCGGTCTTCGCCGGGGGCAGTGACAGTGATGCGATGGCGAAAGACTTTCCTGGCGGCTAGGGCCACAATGGAGGGAGTCATATAATCGATACCATGTAGAGGAGCTAGAAGTCTGTAGAGTAAGTCAATAAGATGAGTCTGACATACGTGTTTTGGTGGGAATATGTTTGGACTCACTGTGCAAATCGGGAAAATTGAATATTTGCATTGGCAGATACACCACTCGCAACAGCGCGACTGAGCCGCAGAAATACAACGATATCCTGGATATATCGAACGACTTCCGCACTCATGCTCACCGATGCACTTGTTTCTCGAAGTTGATCCATCACCTATAAGGTCATGGGCCCGGTATTAGATTTCTATGTCCAGTTCGTGATTTTGAAATTGAAGTGGATTGGGATAACGTCAAACTTACCAACGGGCTAACCGTAGCACTCTTCGGTTGCTTTCCCTTTGACTTATGAATAACAGAGGAAGCGGACTGTTGTCCATCTGAAAGCCAGTCATTCTCTTCAAGATAGGTATAACCAGCCTCCGGGCTGTGGAAATGAGAAATGAACAGATTGTCATTCTATTGTGGCATTAGCTAAAGCAAAGCAGTTAAATGGGCGTGCACAGACAACACTTACCAGGTGTGGTTTTAAAGGTGGTTGAAGTTGATCGAAGTCTCGTGCCACAAGAGGGACGAAAAGGAAGTCCTGGGGCGCGCTTAGGATCCCGATTTCGGTTACTAACTTCCTCGATCGCATTAACTATCCCAAATATCAGCTATGTCTTTACTGAGTTGGCGATCCGAATACATACCTGCAGCATGTGCATTTGGATATCATCACTGACAAAGTTGAAGTTTTTGGCGACTACAATATTGACAACATTACTGCCGAGTTGTGAAGATAGAGCTGGCGGTCTGCTGTAACCCCCAAGACTCTTATATGAAGAACGATTGCTTGACTAATTTTATTAGCATATAGGAATACAAATGATAGCATAGAGTTGAGATATTGACATACTGTTTCAGTATTCAGCCATGGACGCGATGGGCGATAGTTTGCGCGTGCATCCGGGGTGAGAACGTCATTAAAGATATCGTCAATAGATGTTTCAGATGAACAGTCAAGGATGCAATATGAGTAGTTGAATGTAGTGGAGCCAATCTGTTTTTCATTAGATATCATCTCAATTTTCCGGATGTATTGACATACTAAGGCGAGTTCTTTGGCGAGATCATTAATACAGTGGCTGGTCGTCTCGATCAAGCAATGTTCGCGGGCAACAAGGCACAGTAAAAGGGCCACTTCGAGATCAGATAATTCTCGAGCTATATCAGCAAGATCTGTATAATCCATGATTTGGAAAGATGACGGAGTTGGCCAATGAAGATGCAGCAACTAGTTATCAAGAGAAGTCGAGGATTGTGGTGGGGAATTTCCGCCTGAAAATCAAGGCGACAAACCCCGATCAGGTCTAGCCCGTGTGACCCCGTTCTCCCCGATCAACAGCTCGAACATCCAACAACTAGAGGATTCAGTGCCTCATCTGTGATCATATCCATAGTCATGCCACCCAACCCACTTGCAAACTGGGAAAAGGTTGGAGACAGCTTTTATCGCAAAATCGCCGTGTATGACGCCATCTTCGAGGACGACGTCGAGTTAGAGAACTACATTGTCGCGGGCGCCCCCTACGGAGGAGCTATCGGTAAGTCTCCATTGAAGAATCGGTGAACTGGACTAACGTGGATATCAGCGCTTTATCGCGACGAAAGCAAGCCATTCAGGCTTCGCGATGGACAGGGTTCCCGCTCCACAATTGATATTTATTCATGCTCTGGACAGAAAATCAATCGTATAAACGTTTGTTTGCACTTTATGATTGAATCACGATGAACCTACTAACTAGTTTCAGTGGGAACAAGCCACCATTCGCGGATTAGGATGGTCTGATAAAGAAGAGCTCCTGGTCGTCTCTGAGGATGGAACGGTGCGACGCTACTTCGGATTGGACGGCGAGTTTACATCCTTCTCTCTCGGAAATGTGAGGCTTGATGCCTATACCCTAGACATGCTGTATACAAACTAACAATTTAACAGGGTGCCGAAGAGTATGGCGTGAGAGCTTGCCAGTTTTGGTCATCAGGCCTCGTTGCATTGCTGTCCAATAACCAGCTAATTGCCGTATCCAAATATGACGAGCCGCGCCCGCGGCTCTTGGCACCTTGTCCGGAAGGCGAGGTATCGTCGTGGGCTTTGATTCCACCAGCCCAGACACTCTCACGCTCTGTTGAGGTTCTGTTGGCTGTTGACAAGACCGTCTTTTTAATCGACTCAACAGAAGCAGAAGACAAGATTCTGCAGGATGGTCCATTCAAACACATCAGTGTGTCTCCAACAGGGCGCTTTGTCGCACTTTTCACTGCAGAAGGGAAGTTATGGGTAGTCAGCAATGACTTCCAAAACAAGTTCAGCGAATATGATTCAAAATCTCGGGTTCCGCCAAATACCGTGAACTGGTGTGGTGATGATGCTGTCATCCTTGGATGGGAGGATGAAATTCATCTTGTTGGGCCCAACGCTGTCGCATCAAAGTGAGTGGTCTCTTTTCAATGCCTGCGAGCACTATCTAATCATCCTAGATACTACTACGATGGCCGCGTTCATGTCATACCAGAGTTTGATGGAGTTCGTCTCATAACTAATGACACATGCGA